CACCTCCAGCTGTCAAAAGCTGGTGTTTCTAGCTGCTGCCAAGGACGAAAAATGCTTGGAAACAGGCAAGCATGCAAGTAGCAATGGAAGGAGCCAAGTTATCCCAGTAGCCAGCTCAGGTCCAACTAGCTTTTGCTGGCCCACTCCTCAGGATGCCAAGGAGGCAGGTGAGGTCACAATCACCAGTCACAGGTCCTGCATGTTTTCCCCTCAGGGCCATGCATGTTGTTGGCCCTGCGGCCACCACAGCCCAGCCCTCTGGCAGCTGGAAGTCATGGACACCAGGACACTTTGAAACCCACCTCCCAGGAGAACGTGTTGGGGTCCAAAGCATCATTTTAGGGTGTAAACTCCTCAAAGCTTCAAGTTCTTTGTGTCCAAAGCCTCATTTTGAAGGTGCAGAGAACTAATATCCAGGGCATAAAGTCCCGCTTTTAAGAGCCAAAAGAAGACTCATTTGTAAGGACCAAGTGTGGTTTTAGGGGTTAAAATGAATCAAAAGGTGGTGAATCCTGGGTCCTGGAGGAGGAGGAAGGACACTGGACTCCCTGCAGGGCAGCTGCTGTATGAGGGATGCTCACTGGTGGACCAGGGGGTTGCTGTTTTGACTCAAACCAACCCAAACCCATTCTTTGGGTTAGAAAGGGGTGAGAAGGGGCCTTTTGGGGCAGCATTTCATCACCCTATGGGGTATTATTGGTGTCTTTTGGTTTTGTTCTGCCTCAACAACAGGGAACGTACATCATGCCTCTTGTACTTCAACTTTTGATGGACTTTGAACACATTTTACCAGCGACACTGTCGTGACATCACAGCCAGGGCTCACAGAATCCTTCCCGTTCCTCTCCCACGGCAACGGAAGGTGGCCCCCAAACACCAACAAAGAACGTTGGCCTCGGTCACAAGGCTGGTTGCCAACAATTCCAGGTGGCCCTCAGTCACACCCAGTCCCCAGTGACGTGGCCCTTGGGAATAACCTGGTGCCAGCAAGGGAATTCTGCCCTCAGACATGGCCAGGTGCCGCCCGTGGAGCATCTTATTCTCCCTGATCCCTCCAGGTCCAAGTGAGCACTTCTATTTAAGGAATATCAAATATTTATATTTATGGGGAAAATTCCAACCGCTTTAGGGGCTTATTGTAAAGATAATTTTCAGGCTCTGGCCGTCACTCCTGCTCCTTAATTAGTGATAACTGTGCTGCTTTGGAACCACCAAAAATAATGGGGAATATTTTGAGTCTGATTTTCAGGGCATTTTGCCCTCGTGCTGCCTGATGGTGATTCCTGCACCCCCACAGAGCACCCCTCAGGGTCTTCTTGTGGGGGCTGCTGTCCCTCATCGCTGTAATCACCGGCTTTAATTCGCTCCTCAAGCACTATTGCAGAGATCCAGGGAGCTGAAAAACATCTTACTCCACATGCACCCCCCCAGCTGGAGAAAGCCAAGGAGGAGAATCTTCCTATATATCATTTTTGGGTGTGAGAGTTGAAGATATTTTTATCTTTAGAGTTTATCGAGGTAGCGGACTGGAGGTAATTTTTTCCCTTGATTTTTATTAGTGGTTTCATACTGCCACACCTCCAGATCCTGCCCAGATCTGAGGAAAAGAGGGGAAACATCCAAAACCAACCCCAAAATCACAGAGTTTCCCAGATGTGCTCATCCACAGGGGTTTGGGAGGAGGCAGCCTGTGGCTGATCACAGGTTATTGTCAGAAAATCCTCAATTCCTTCCAAATCCGCTTTGCTCAGTGGAATTTTAGGGATAAAAGTGCATAAATAAGTTGTGTTAAAGATGAGTTCCTGCCAAGTCATGACAGGATCTGGCTCCAGGTGCTCCTGGCATTGAGGAACCGGGATTGTCCCATGCCAGGTGCAGCCAGCGAGGGTCAGCAGGCCCCCGTGGTGAGGTGAAAATGAACCAAAAGCCTGCTGGTTTGGGTTTCAGGGTGAAACCTGAGCTCTGGCTGGGAGAACTGGGAGTGAAATCCATCAGGTGGGTGGATCAGGAACCCCCCTGGAACTCTGCAAGGTTCCTGTTGGGGGGTTGACACCCCTTGGAGTAGTGGAGCCTCCTCTTCAGGTGTCCTCTGCTCTGGTCACCACCATCATCACCATCCCCCTACTCTCCCAACATAACCTTCTCTCTCTGTTCTTTGCAGTTGATGCAGATGATGAAGACAGCTGGGGCCTGTCAGATGTGTTTTGGTAAGTCCCATGGTTTTGGGGTGAGAAAGGGGATTCCATCCCCCTTGGATCCCCAGCAGGGATTCTCCTGTGCTGGGCTGGCTCTCCCAGAGCCAAAACCCACCCGAGCCATCCTCCAAAAGGGCTAAAAAGGGCTGAAATGTCTTGAGAAGGGCAGAAAACATCATCCAAAGGAGTGCAAACACCCCAGTAGTACAGAGAATAATGATAGTGTGGGAATAAATCCCATTTTTCAGCTATTTTACCCAAAACTACAACTTTTAGGGCTCTGTGCACCACAACCCTTGCTTGCTACCAGTCCCCCTGGGCTGGGGGTGCTCGTTAGCAGGTCCCTCAAATGCTGTTCTGCCAAATGGCTCATTTTTTGTTCTTATGAAACTGTTGGTAATTATTGCTTTGGACAATTATCAGGGAAAGGGGAATAAAGGGGGTTGAGCAATGCAGGAGGCAAAAACCAGCCTCTGAGCACATACTTGATGGCTCAAATTGGTCATGAAACATCATTATTGAACCACAAATGGGTGTCCATCATTAGTTATAGCATTTACTAGCATTAATTTGTTAGTTAGGTGCTGGTGCTGTCTCCTAAACCTTTTCCTGTATTTTTGCAGTGATCCTCAGGTCGTGAACCGCTTTTTGCCTGGATCCAGAAAGGTGACAACTCAGCTACCTCTCCAAAACACAAACATCCTGGTTTTTTCGTAAAAACTGAGGGTTTTTTTACATCAAACTTCTCCCAAGGTCAGGATCTTTTTGGTTTTGGGCTTCTGCCACCACTTAAGCTGTGCAGCCATCTGGGATTTTGTGGTGATTTGAGCCAAAACTGGGAACAGGGAGAGCCACTGCCCCACTGCTGGGAAGAGCTCGGTGCTTTCTGGGGCTGCCCCTCACCACTGCACCCTCTTTTTTTCCCCCCATTCTTTTTTTCATTCTGTGTCTAAACAAAGTAAATCCAATGTTTGTCATTCCAGAGTGACAGTGGTGCCATCCTGGACAGCACAAAGGCTGCAGCCAGTTCCTTTTTTGAAGGTGCTGGGGTAGGTCTTTTTTTTTAATTTCTCCTTGGGGAGCCTTTCCTTTCTCTCCCGTTGTTTTTCAACGTCCTCAGCGTGTTTTTCATCTATTCCCCAGCTCTGGGAATCCTCCGGCAGCCTCCTGAGCGCAGAGCTGAGCCAGCCCAGGGCCAGCACGGGCCTGGCAGTGCCACAGGATGCCAGCCTGGCGTGGCAGTGGGACAGCGGGGCCGCCGTGGTGGGGCCACCCTGCGACCTGCTGCAGCAGTGCCTGTGGGCAGCGGGCATCACCGAGCAGCTGCTGGAGGCGGAGGCCAAGCAGGAGCTGGGCAGGTTCCAGCCCCAGGTGGCTTTGAGCAGCACCCTGCAGCTCTGCCCCGCTGGCACCCATGTCCAGGGGCTGCAGCCCCACGCCGGCCACCCCCGCCAGAAGGGAAACATCCAGCCCTTCCCGCAGCACCCCGGGCCCTTCCCCGGCCTCCAGGGCCCCGGTGGGACGCTGGGTGTGGGGCCCAGCCCGGCGTGGGGACAGCAGGTGATGGCCCAGCCAGCGCAGCAGGTCGTGTTCCTCCAGCAGGCAAGTGCAGCCCCGGGGGTCAGGGACCAGCACCTACCTCCACGTTCACTGCACCTCCCAGACAGGCTTTTGTAGTTCTGGGCTTTGAAGCTCTCCATTTTTAGCTTTATTTTTTAGTTGTTTTAGTCCTATTTACATTTTTTTAATTTACATTTATTTTAATTTCCCCATGTCACTTAATTCTATTTCTTTTAATTCTATTGTTTTAGTTCTGTTTCTTTTCCTTTAGTTCTTTCACCTGGGAAGGGGGAAGAGGAACAGGGACAAAGAGCCCAGTCCTTGAATTTTGATTTAGTTCAATCTTCAAGCTCCCCCTGGTTTGCATTTTGGGGGTGTATGGGCCCATTTCTGGGGTTCAGACCCTAAGGGGGGCAGCTCTAGCAGAGCCTTTTTTGATTCCTGGAGTCCTCAAGGTTGGAAAAACCTGCAAGATCCTCAAATCCCACCCTCTTTGTGCTTCCTCGTGCCCGCTGGTGGCCGGACAGGAGGGTCCCTCCCTCATCCATGCTGAACTCATGCAGTTTGGGGGGTTTAAAAACGTGTTTTCACCCTTTGGGTTGTTTTTCACCCCATCCAGGTGCCGCAGGGGATCGTCTCACAGGGGAAGCAGCCGTTCCCTGGCCCACCCTCCTGTGTCCTGGGGAGCCCCCAGGGCCAGCCGGTGTCGGTGCTGCTGCCACTGGTGCCACTGGCCCACGTGCCCACTGCCCTCCCACACTCTGCTGCCAGGTCATCCCACCACCACCAGCACCCTGGAGCAGCAGCCCCCTGGCCCAGCAGTGCCCTGGCACCCAAGGCTGGGGAAGCTGAGCTGTGGCACAGCAAAAGCTGCCAGAGCCAGGAGCCAAAACAGGAGACTGAGCTCTTTTATCTCTTATTTTAAATAAAACTCTTTTTTTTCCCGTGATAGAACGTGCCATGAGAATCTGAAATGGGATTATTTGGTATTTGGGCTTGAGTTTAAGCGCATCCCCCGTGTGTTTGATATTTGCAAGATATCATCTCCCTGGTCCCTGAGGAGAGGGAAACCTCCAGCGTTTCCATCCCCATTTCTACTGGGAAAGGGGCTGTGACCCCAGGGGAGTCAGGGCTCCTCGTGCCTTCCAGCAGCCCCTTCAGGTGAGGAAGTAGCTTTCCTGGGTTTGCTCTTCGTTACCAAGTTTTTTGACATTGTTAGCAAACTTTTCCACTTTGTTTCCAAGATTTTGCACTTTATTTGCCCTATGAAGTTTTGCCCATTATTGCATAGTTTTCACCCTCCATTTCCCACTTTTGCCCTTTATTTCCCAGTGTTCTCCCTCCAGTACCCATGTCCCCCTTTATTTCCAAGTTTTACATTTTCTTTACCATCTTTTCCCCTTTATTTCCTAGAGTTCCAATTTCTTTCTCAGTTTCCTCTTTTTATTTCCAAGTTCTCCAGTTTATTTCCAAGGCTTTCCACTTTTTATTTCCCAGTTTCCCTTTATTTCAGCTTTTTCTCTTCCAAGTTTTCCCCCTTTATTTCCAAGTTTCTCCACTTTGCCCCCATGTTTTCTGTCCTTGGTCCCTCGATGGAGCTTTCAGAGGGCCACGGGTCTGAATCCATCCTCGACAGAAGCTGCAGCTGGGATATTCCTGCAGTTGTCAGGTTCTTCTTCATCATCTGAAAATAACCCCAGTGCCAGCAGTCAGCATCACATCAGTGGGCACAAACCCTTCCACAACAACTCCTGCCTGAGAAGCACCTCAAAAGCCTTCCACTCACCTGCTCTGCATCGATTCCGGTGTCGGTCACTGCAGCGAGCCTAAAGATATTCAGAGAGAGAAAACTACCGCTGCATTTGTGAGAAATCACCAGCCCCCACCACCTCCTCCTCGCTACCGCGCAGCTCACCTCAAACGCTCCTCCAATTCCAAGAGCTGCCCACAGAGGGCCTGCAAAGCCCGGGAGAAACGCTTCCCTGAGGTGCCGCAGGAGACTTTGAGACAACAACCACCTCACCTTGGAACCATCTTCGCCGCTCCAAGGCCACGTGTGTCAAGCGCTGACAGACAGCTTGACCAGGCCCAGGGTCTTCTCTTTGCACAGCCAAGGGCTACGGGTGACAGGGCAGAGAGAGAGGAATTCAAAGTGAGAGACGGGGTACAGGATCAAGAAAGATGGAGAAAGAAATACCCTCGTGACGCACTACAGGGTCCAGAAAGAAGAGCTTGATAACGATGACAAGATGCCAGACAGAGAGAGACAAAGCAGAAATACCGAGGGGCTACAGAGACAGGCAGGGAGGAATGCAAAAATGGCAGCTGGGAGCTGGACAGAGAGAGATGGAGAATGAGAAAAGAGTTACAGTCAGAGAGAGGAAGCACCTGGGAGACGGGGACAGGGGGCTGGTTCTAGAGAGATGGAAAAAGCAGGTAGAGGGGAGAAGAGAGAAAACACAGCGTTGTGGGAAAGGGAATGGAAAGAGGAGGGAAATGGGAGGACACAGGACACAGAAGCGGAGCGACAGCGCCCTGCGGGCCCCGCAGTGCCTGGGGATCTCGCTTTCCATGCTGCCGGGAGCCTTTCCCAGACGCTTCTTTCTCCTCCTGCAGCTCCCGGCTCTCGGCGGTCCCTGCGCCCCGGGGCACACGCGGGTGTCCCACAGCGCTGATGGACGAGGCTTCCCGGGCACGGATCCCCGATTGCCAGGGGGGCCGGAGCAGCTCAGTGGAGCTCCGACGAGATGGGGAGGCACCCGGCGCCTGCCCCGGGGGTGTCCTCCTCATCCCGGACCCTCCTGCCCCGGGGGGTGTCCTCCTCATCCCGGACCCTCCTGCCCCGGGGGTGTCCTCCTCATCCCAAGACCCTCCTGCCCCGGGGGTGTCCTCCTCATCCCGGACCCTCCTGCCCCGGGGGTGTCCTCCTCATCCCAAGACCCTCCTGCCCCGGGGGGTGTCCTCCTCATCCCGACCCCCGGACCCTCCTGCCCCGGGGGTGTCCTCCTCATCCCGGACCCTCCTGCTCCTGGGGGTGTCCTCCTCATCCCAAGACCCTCCTGCCCCGGGGGGTGTCCTCCTCATCCCGGACCCTCCTGCCCCGGGGGTGTCCTCCTCATCCCGGACCCGCCTGCCCCGGTCGCCTCCCCGGGCCGGGCTGCAGGCTCCACCACGCCGCTCCCTGTCCTCTGTCACTGTCCCATCAAAGATCATCCCCAGCCGTGCTCCCAAACTGCCGGCATTTCACCCCAAAGTGCGGTTCTCCCAGCAGAGATACGGCTGATTGGAACCTCGCATCGGGGTGAGAGCCTGGAGCACGATGATCCTGGAGCTGGAGCGAAAGGTCTTGTCTGGCTGCCACGGTCTGGCAGCTGGAGCAGCCCCCAGCCACACGGTGCCCTTTTTTGGTCAGGTCCCCCGTCTTTCAGCCCCTGAGCTCCAGCGGGGCATAGGGCAAGGGCCTGGAGGCACAGGACAAAGGGAATATCTTCCCAATAACAGAGGGCAGGGTTAGATGGGATATTGGGAAGAAATCCTTCCCTGTGAGGGTGGTGAGGCCGTGGCACAGGTTGCCCAGAGAAGCTATGGCTGCTCCATCTCTGGAAGTCTTCAAGGCCAAGTTGGACGGTGCTTGGACCAAGTCAGTCCAAGCCTTAAGAACAAGATGAGCTTTAAGGTCCCTTCCAACCCAAACCATTCTGGGATTCCAGGATTTCTTCAGCGCTGTGCCAAAGCACAGGATGCTCCAGTCAGGACTTGGCAAAATCTCATTAAACTTAACAACAACCATTTCACAGCTTCTTTTGAGTTTTTTTTCCTTAATATGAGCAACCTGAAGCCATGTGCCAGCAGGGAAACCCTTCTCCTGTCCTGCTGCATGGAAAACCAGCCCGGAGAAAGAGCCAGTGAGCAGAGGTGGTGGTGTCTATCCTCCCCCTGCATCCCCCTGCTGAAAGGCCATCCCTTAAACCCAGCATCAGGGAAACTAATCCTAAACCTGGGATCAGAGAAACTGAGTTTGAACCCAAATGTTCCACTGGGCTGCAAGTCCAGATTTAAAAAGGAAAAAAACAAAAAAAGTCAGCAGGCATGACAACATTCCCCTAAAACAATTGTTTAAATTGTTCATAATTAAGACATTTTAAAAATTAAAGCTGAAAAAAATTATTAGGAAAGCTACTCATTTTTCTTGCGATTATTATTTTAATTTTTCAGAGGAAATAGGTGTTTTTTTAATTTTCATTTTATAAATAGATTTCTACTTTCGTTTTTATTCTATAAATCTTTAAAATTTTTGTCCTGTGAGGGAAATAATTTTTGCATCTGCGATTTCACCTCTATCTCATCATTTGCTTTGTTTTTCCTGTTTATAAATTCCTATTTTCATTTCCTCGCTTTCAGTTATTTCCCCCCCCCCCCCCCATTTCTCCCTCGGCGCCCTCTCGATCCGCGCAGCCCCGCGGGTATAAACGACTGGATGGCCGCGGCGGGGGGGTCAGCCAGATGTCGGGAACGGGAAAAAGGCTGGACCCCCCCCCCGGGATGACAGATGACGTCAGGGCTCCCTTGACCACCACCCGCATCCCGGTGACGTCACCAGCGCGTGCGCGGTGCACCCCCCACCGCCCCCCCCCGGCGCGGAGCGGAGGATGCGGGGCCGCAGGTGGGTGCGGGGCTGGGGGGGTCCGGGGGGGTCCGGCGAGGGGTGAGGGGGTTTGGGGGGTGCGGGGTGATGCTGTCGGTGCAGGCGGGCCGGGGGGGGCGGATTTGGGGCGGCGGGCGGGGGTGCGGCACCCCCGGGGTCTGTGCGGGGGTGGGCGCGGGCGTTGCGGGGGGTGTCGGGTTTGGGGGCGCGTGGCGGCCGCGAGCGCGCGGGGGCTCCGGGGGCGCGGCGGGCGGTGCGTGGACGCTGCGGGAGGGGATGGGGGGGGGTGGGTTGGGGCTCAGCAGGGAGGGGCGAGGGGTGGGGGGGGTCGGGGGGCGCCGGTGCGGGGGCGGTGCGGTGCGGGGATGCGCTCACGGCGCTGCGGGAGCGTTCGGGGGGATCTGGGGTGGGGAAGGAGGGGGTGCGGGGCGTGCGCGTGCGGGGAGCGGCGGGGGGGGCAGCGGGGGCGTGTGTGCGGGTGCAGGGATGTGTGCGGGGGGGGGTGTAGGGGGTGTGTGCAGGGACGTGCGTGTGCAGGGGTGTGTGTGTGTGCAATGATGTGTGTGTGTGTGCAGGGATGTGTGTGTGTGCAGGGATGTGTGTGTGCAGGGATGTGTGTGCGTGTGCAGGGATGTGTGTGTGCAGGGATGTGTGTGTGTGTGCAGGGATGTGTGTGTGTGTGCAGGGATGTGTGTGTGTGCAGGGATGTGTGTGTGTGTGCAGGGATGTGTGTGTGTGCAGGGATGTGTGTGTGTGTGCAGGGATGTCAGGGATGTGTGTGTGTGTGCAGGGATGTGTGTGTGTGCAGGATGTGTGTGTGTGTGCAGGGATGTGTGTGTGTGCAGGGATGTGTGTGTGTGTGCAGGGATGTGTGTGTGCAGGGATGTGTGTGTGCAGGGATGTGTGGTGTGTGTGTGTTGTGTGTGCAGGGATGTGTGGTGCAGGGATGTGTGTGGCAATGATGTGTGTGTGTGTGCGGGATGTGGAGGGATTGTGTGTGTGTGTGTGTGGTGTGTGCAGGGATGTGTGTGTGCAGGGATGTGTGTGTGTGCAGGGATGTGTGTGTGTGCAGGGATGTCTGTGTGAGCAGGGATGTGTGTGTGTGTGCAGGGATGTCTGTGTGTGCAGGGATGTGTGTGTGTGCAGGGATGTGTGTGTGTGCAGGGATGTGTGTGTGTGCAGGGATGTGTGTGTGTGCAGGGATGTGTGTGAGCAGGGATGTGTGCGTATGTGCAACGTTGTGGGTGTTTGCAGGGGGGGTGTGGGTGTATGGGGGAGTGTGTACAGGGATTGTGTGTGTGTGCGTGTGTGTGTGTGCAGGGGGGTGTGCATGTTCAGCTCTGCGTGTGTGTGCGCATGTGTGCGTATGTGCAAGGGTTGTGTGTGCAGGGGGGGTGTGTGCAGGGGGTGTGCGTGTGTTCAACTGTGTGTATGCGTGTGCAGGGTGTGTGTGTGTGTGCAGAGGGGTGTGTATGTGTTCAGCTGTGTGTGTGTGTGCATGTGTGTATGTGCAAGGGTTGTGTGTGCAGGGGTTGTGTGTGTGTGTGCAGGGGGGTGTATGTGTGCAGGGGTTGTGTGTGCAGGGGTTGTCTGTGTGTGTGCAGAGGGGTGTGCACGTGTTCAGCTGTGTGTGTGTGTGCATGTGTGTATGTGCAAGAATGTGTGCACTCGGGGACGTGTGTGCACGCAGACGTGTGTGTCTGTGTGTGTGCATCCATGTGCAGGTGTGTGTGGGGGGTGTGTGTTTGTGTGTGTGTGCGTGCAGGGCAGTGTGTGTGTGTGCATGTGTTCAGCTCTGTGTGTGCCTGTGCACGTGTGTGTATGTGCAGGTATGTGCGCGCAGGGGGTGTGTGTGTGCAGGTGTGGGGGGGGGGTGTGCCCAGGTGTGTGTGTTTGTGTCTGTGTGCAGGTGTAGGGCTACAGTGTGTGTGTGTGTGTGTGTGTGTCCATGTGCGAGTGTAGGGGGGGGGTGTGCACAGGCATGTGTGTGTGTGCGCGTGCCCATGTGCAGGTGTGTGTGGGGGGGGTCACATAGTGTGTGTGGATTCAGGTGTGCACAGGGTGTGTTTGTGCGGGTTCAGGTGTGCACAGGTGTGTAGAGGTGCACAGTGTGTGTATGTGGATGCAGGTGTGCACACCTGCACAGTGTGTGTGGGGATGCAGGTGTGCAGGGGGGGGTGTGCAGATTGTGTGTGTGTCCATGTGCAGGTGTAGGAGTGTGTGTGTGCAGGTGTTGGAGTGTGTGTGTGCAGGTGTGTGCATGTGCAGGCGTGTGTGCAGTGGCAGATGGGTGTACATGTGCAAGTGTGTATGTGCAAGTGCGTGTGCATGTGCAGGTGTGTGCATGTGAAGGTGTGTGTGTGCAGCTGCAGGCTTGTGTGTGTGCACAGGTGTGAGGTGTGTGCACACGTGTGTGTGCAGGTGTGTGCACGAGCAGGCACGCGTGTGCACGGGTGTGTGCATGAAGTTGGGGTGCTGGTGTTTGTGGGGCCTGGAGCCAGGTGTCCGTGGGTGGTGCAGGAGTGGGAGGGGGTCTGTGGTGCAAGTGGGGACACGCACACACACACACACACACACACACATGTGCACAGCGGTTCACAGTGTGTGTGTGTGGATGCAGATGTGCACACCTGCATAGTGTGTGTGCATTCAGGTGTGCACAGGGTGTGTTTGTGTGGATTCAGGTGTGCACAGGTGTGTAGAGGTGCACAGTGTGTGGATGTGGATGCAGGTGTGCACACCTGCACAGTGTGTGGGGGGATGCAGGTGTGCACACATGGACTGTGTGTGTGTGTGTGAATTCAGGTGTGCACAGGTGTGCACAGGGTATGTGTGGATGCAGGAGTGCACACTTGCATAGTGTGTGTGGATTCAGGTGTGCACAGGTGTGTACAGATGCACAGTGTGTGTGTGGATTCAGGTGTGCACAGGTGTGCATAGGGTGTGTGTGGATGCAGGTGTGCACACCTGCATGGGGTGTGTGCATTCAGGTGTGCACAGTGTATTTATGTGGATTCAGGTGTGCTCACCTGCATGGTGTGTGTGCATTCAGGTGTGCACAGTGTATTTATGTGGATTCAGGTGTGCTCACCTGCATGGTGTGTGTGCATTCAGGTGTGCACAGGTGTGTGAAGTTGCACAGTGTGTGTATGTGGATTCAGGTGTGCACAGTGTGTGTGTATGGATTCAGGTGTGCACACCTGCATGGTGTGTGTGCATTCAGGTGTGCCCAGGTGTGTGTGGGCACGTGCTGCAGGCATTGCAGGCTCTTGCCCACGCTGTGGAGCACACGTGTGCCCAGGGCTGAGTGGGTGTGCTGCACGTGGGTGTGAGTGGGTGCTACTCAAAGCCCTGGTCTGGCCAGGCTTCCTCCCAGAGCTGTGACATTTCTGCTCCCGTCCCCAGGGAAGTGTAGTGATGCCTTTACTGGGCTATTCCTGCCTTACTACTAGGTTACTATTTGCTTCCTAAGAAGCTACTGCTCAGGTACTACTGGGATATCCTCAGTGACCTTCTGAGTTACTGACATAGTGAACTAGTGTCTAGACACAGCTGAGATGCTGCTGGGACGCTGCTAAGGTGCTATCTTGAGTTTAGTGGAATGTGGACACGTTACTTGCAGGCTGTAGTACAGAACTTACAGGGTGGCACTAAGATACTCTCAGGATACTATGTGGATGCTTTGTGGCTGCCGTGAGAGCTCTGCTGAGATGCTGTCAGGGCACTACCAGGATTCTATCAGGACACCACTAGGATATTTCCAGGGCTGATACTGAAATACTCGTATGAAGGTGCCACTGGAGCAGCTCACGCACCATCCTATTACTCTCAGGATATGTTTAAGTTGCTTTCAGTGTAGTTACATGGCAGGAAGATAATATCTGGGTATGACTTTGCACTACCAAGATACTCCCAGGACACTATGAAGATAATAGCTGTATGTCATTACACCCCTAATAGGATCCTATCAGGGCACTCCTTAATAATTTATATGCTGTGGTACTATCAGGGCACTGTGAAGTCTGGAACCAGGATGCTGTTGGGATGCTCCTGGCATAGCATCAGGATATTCCTGCCTGTGCTGGTACAACATCAGGGCAATGCTGAGCTACTCAGTGGCTGCTACTTGGATACTCTAGGTGTAGCAAAAAGCTATTATCAGGATGCTGCTACGATGTTGTCAGGATACTGTCTGGGTACTCCAAAGCTGCTGCTGAGATCCTTTCACAGTGCTAGTGAGGCACTACTAAGATACTACAGGGCCATTCCTAGGATACTACTAAGATAGTATGAGAGTACTACTGTGATACTACCAGGATATTATCACAAAGCTACTAAGGTGCTATCAAGACTACTCATTTTTCAGTAGGATGCTCTCAGGATGCAAGTGGAATATCAGCAGGACACTCCCGATACAAGGGCACTAGAAAAGATAGTGGTGAGATAGTTGTGGTAAGATAGTTGCTCTCAGGGCAACACTCAAACTTTTGGGATACTGTCAACCCATTACTGATACTAGTATGATACTTTCAGGCCACTGCTAAGATAGTAGTGATACAGTATAAGGATACCAGTAAGATACTATCACTTCAGGCACAAAGGTAATGTTATAATGTTTTTTACATACTATCAGAGTAGCACTAAGCTACTTGGACCACTGTCAGCACTTTGTTGCTACTAGGAAATTGCTGCTAGAATGTTGTCAGGATGTCAGCATATTTCTCTGAAGGCAGTACTAAGATCCTGTTAGGATACTACTAGGATACTGCAGAGATACTGTTGGTTGTGTAAGAGCCCTGGCAGTAGGGTTTCAGTCAGCAGAGCAGCAGCAAAGGGAACGGGGAGCCTGGGGGTGTAACCTGTTGGTAGCCTGGTGCCTGACAGGCACCCTCTCCCCGCAGCTAAGGCGACACATCGGCGTTGAGGAGGATGGAGGCGCCCTTGGTGAGCCTGGAGGAGGAGTTCGAGGAGGGGCCCGGGGACGATGGGGGGACCCTGCAGCGCCCCGCGGACCCCGCGCTGGCGGAGCTGGAGAGCTTCTCGGCCGAGATGATGAGCTTCAAGTCGATGGAGGACCTGGTGCAGGAGTTCGACGAGAAGCTCACCGTCTGCTTCCGCAACTACGACGCTGCCACCGAGGGCCTGGCCCCGGTGCGGGGGCACCTCCAGGCACAGGAGGAGGAGGAGCGCCTGCAGGATGAGGAGTGAGTAAGGCCCCCCTGCTCTGGGGACATGTACCCCTGACACCCCCCCTGCAGTGCAAACTGGCTCCCAGCACTGCAGCACGACCGTGCAAGGCATGAAAGCAGCGGTGTGGTAACCTGTGAGTAAGCCCTCTCAAAGCCAGCGTGCCTCCTTGCACCCCTCCCCGAGCAGCCCCTGCATCGAGGGCATGGTCGTGCTCCATGTCGGGAATAGCACTGTAGTATCCCTATGGAAAAGGGTGTCTTTGGGGTCTGCAGGCCACCTCTCTAGCAAGGTACAGCCCACACGCACCTCGGCCCTTGCGCCATGGTATAGCCATGGGGCACCATGGAGTAGCTGTGGGGTATCCTGTGAGTAGCTGTGTAGGATTGTATGAGTAGGCCATATGATTGGGCCTGCATGCCTCCTTGCATGGTCATGATACACACACCCCCTTCCCACAGCACCCAGTCCAGCTCACCTATTGCAACGTGATCGTGTAGCACTTGGGAGTAGCGGTGTAGTATCTTACGACTAACACCCCTCTGGGACCTCTTGCACCTCCTTGCATGCTTCTGAGCTCCCACCACACGCGAGTCAGTGCCTGGACTGCGGCATGATCGTGCAGCACCTTGGAGTAGCCATGTAGGATCTTTGGAGTAGCTGTGTGGGATCCCTGGAGCAGCATCCTAAGAGGTGGCACAGCATGTCCCGGGGGGTCACGGCTCCTTCTGTGCCAGGAGAGCCCAGGGGGTTGAGCATAAACCTTGAGTAAGGTGTGAGTAAAGCTTAGCCACCTCCTCTGTACCTCACCAGGGGACAGCCAGTTTGGGGTCAAACTCCCCCCAGGCCCCCAATAAACATTGTGCCTTTTGTGTTAAATTCTACAATTTCATTAAAAACCTTGCTTTGTTGCAAAATACCTCTCCTTCCTCAAATCCCTGGGCTTTTTTTTCCCCAGATCCATGAGCTTTTTTCCCCCAAATCCATGGCCTTTTTTTCCCCGGTGATGTTTACACACTCTCACATTTCTCGAGGATTTTTGGTGCGTGTTTAACTGGGATTATTCCCCAGGCCACGACTGCTAATCCTTATTCCCACCGTGCAAAGGGGGTTGTTTTAAACCCCCCAAAAAGCCCCAAATCCGTTGATTTTTTTTTTATTCTGTTTTGTCTTGTTGGCTTTTTGTCCCCGAGAGCAGCTGAGGCCGAACAGATTTTCGCAATTGGCCGAATCGCTGGTTTTTCAGAGCAAAAGGCAGCTTGGCCGCGCGCCGGGGCGGCCGCGCCGTCGCCGCTTTGTGCCGTTCATTGTGTCTTTTTTGGGTCACTTTGGGCAAAACAGGGCTTTTTTTTTGGTTTTTTTTTATTCTTCCTCCTTGAATGAGCCCTGTGTGTGGGGTGGGGGAGGGGCCGGGGCCTTACAGGCGCTGGATTTCCCCAATTATTAACCATTTCTGGCCGTAATTAACCCAGAAATTACTGCTGCTCTGGGCTTGGCCCTGGGGGGGGGGGTGCTGGCCCTTTAAGAGCAGGGGGGAAAAGGCAAATTTGGGGGGATAACCGCTGATTTGCTGCTTTTTTTGTTAAAAAATAGCAGTGTGGGGGTTTGCCATGTGCGGTTTTGTGTGTTAATTGGTGAAATCTTTGATTTCAAGGGGAATTCAGCTCTGGTGAGGAGGGAAATAAGATAAATCCCCAAAAATGAGCAGTTTTCGGGCTGGGAAGGGGGCAGGGGGGTTTGGGGTGATTTTCAGGGAATTAGGATGTGGTACCATGTTGGACCAAACCCACTGTTTTCTGCTCTTTTCTCCCATTTTCTCTTTTCCTCCTCCAGTTCTCCACTTTTCCCCTATTTTTCACCTCATTCCCTCTTTTTTCTTAAACCAGCACACTTACATTTTCTCTTTTTCCGCATTTTCTTTTTCTCCCAGTTTTTCTTTTCTCCCTCTTTTGGCCCTTTTCCTCCTCTCTCTATTCCCTATTTTCCCCTCTTTCCCTTTCTCCCCTTTTTCTCATCTTTCTCCATTTCCCCCCTATTTCCTTCTTTTCCCTCTTTTTCATTTTTTTTCCATTTCCTCTGTTTTACCCAAATTTCCTTTCTCCCATTTTTCCTCCTTTTCTCCCTTTTTGCCCTTTTTCTCCATCTTTTTTACACCTTTTTTCTCTTTCCTCCTCTGTTTTTCCCTTTCCCTTTCTTTCTTTCTTTCCCCCCCTTTTTCCACTCTCTTTATTTTTCCTTCTCTTCTCTTCCCCCCCCTTTTTTCACCTTTTTTCACATTTAATTCAATTTTTTCCCTTTTTACGCCCCTTCCCTCCCTTTCCTCCACTTCCCCCCTTTTTTCTCTTTTTCACTTTTTTGGACTTTTTTGAACATTTTTTTCCCATGTTTCTCCCCATTTTCCCCTGGTTTTGTTTTTTCCCCTCTGTTCCCCCTCCCCCATGCAACTTTATTGGGGCAAAATTGGGCAAAATTGGTCCAGCCCTGCAGGGCAGAACCAGACACCCCCAATAGGAGGAAGTTTAGGGGAATTCTGGGCAATTCTGTGGGATTTTGGTGCATTTTGGGGTATCAGGGCCATGGTTTGGGCTGCTTGGGGACCTTCTATGGGTGTTTCCAGCTTTTTAGGACTGTATTTTGGGAAACTTTGGGGTGTTTTGGGGCTTCTCAGGGCATCACAGCTGGTTTTTGGGGTGTTTTGGGGCATATTTCAAAGCAGGATTTTCGTATGTTCCAGGGACATCTTTTAGGGCCTTTCAGGGCAGCTCTGGGGGGTTTCAGGGCTGTCTCCAGGTGACAGTTTGGGGTGTTTCAGGGGGGCCTTTTTTGGGTGTTGTGGCTGCATTGTGAGGTTTTTCAACCTGTTCCAGCTCAGCATTTTGGGGAGTTTTGGGGCATTTGGGGCATTATGGAAACGTTTTGGGGTGTTGGACAATTGAGGGGTGTTCTGGAGCATCGTGGCAGCATTTTGGGGTATTTCAAAAAGCTGGGCAGCTTTTTGAGGCTTTTTAAGGGGTTTCTGGGCAATGTGTCAGGGCAGCATTTTGGGGTGTTTTAGGATGTCAGGGCAGTATTTGGAAGCATTGGGAAGCTTTTTGGGGTGGAGTTTGGGGACAGCATTTTGAGATGTTTCAGTATGTTCTGGAGCAGCATTTTGGAACATTTTGGTCAGTATTTCAGGAAAGCATTTTGGGGTATTTCCAGGTGTTCAAAAGGGATATTTTGGGGTAATTCGGGGGTCTTTTTTGGGTAGTTGGAGCACTTCAGGGTGGCATTTTGGGGTATTTCAGGAGAACATCTGGGGACATTTTGGGGTGTTCCAGGGCAGCATTTTGAGGTGGTTTGGGGCCTTTCAGAGATTTTTGGGGCAGTGTTTTAGGATGGTGCTTTGGGCCACTTCAGGGAGTCATGATGATGTTTTTTGGTGGCATTTTGGGGCGTTTCAGGGTGGTCCTTTGGGACATGTGGAGACATTTTGGAACATCACAGTGGCCTTTTGGCAGTGTTTTGATGGCAGCATTTCAAAATGACATTTGGGGGCATCTCAGGTGCTGGGGCAGCATTTTGGGGTGCTTTGGGGTATTTCAGGGCAATATTTCATGGTGCTATTTTGAGAAGCTTTGGGGTCTTCTAGGGCAGCATTTGGGGTCTTCTAGGGTATCATTTGGGGTGTTCTGGGATGTTTCAGGCGTCTCAGTGGTGTTTTGGGATTTTTGTAGGGCGTCTCAGGTCGTTTGCGGGGCTGCATTTTGGGATGTTCCGAGGCGTCTCGGCGTGCCATTTTTGAGACAGCTCTCTGAGAGGCAGCATTTTGGGAATTGCCACTCACCACCCACCTCCCTGCAGGGTCTGGGATGCTCTCACTGATGGCTTTGCCCCCCGGAGCTCCCCCCGGCCATGGCTCCCTGGCACTGAGGCCCCCGACGGCACCAACCCCCAGGTACGGCTGTGGCCCCCCTTGGCTCCCCAGAGCCCCCCTCTCCTCAGGCTTAATGACCATCAGGGTACTGCAAATTACCCAAAAATGGTAGTTTTGGGGTGCTGCAGCACCAGTGCAGTGAGTGTCCACATTTTAGGGTCAAATCACACTGAAACGGGCAAGATGAAGTGTTTGGTTTGACAATCTGGGATTTGCCGGTTTGTCCCCGTGTCAGGGATGGGGTGGGGTATTTTTGGGGGTAGAAAATAGTGGTGTCATTGTTGTGGTGAGCTTGTGCTCTCAGTTGCTGCTTTTGGGGTTGTAAAAACGCCCCCGAATCCACGGAATTTAACCCATTTGGATTTAACACAGCCCGTGGCTGAAGGGGGAAGAGACTTTCTTGGGTTATTTGCTTCTGAAAAGGTGAAAAAGACTGAAAGGTGGCAATAAAGAAGAAGATGCCTCGTTGTCTGACATCTCCGTTCAGCATCTCCATCCATCCCTTCCCTATTTAGAGGTCCCTCTGCCATCTCCCTGTCCCATGTCCCCACCCAGTGTCTCCATCAGACCATTCAGCTTCCCCATCCCTCATCTCCCCATTCAACATCCCCAGCATCTCCATCCAGCACATCCACCACCTCCTCACCCAATATATTTATATATATAAAACATCTCTCCATCCAGCAGCTCCATCCAACAGACCTGTACTTCTCCCTGCCTTCTTCCTAGTCCAGTGTCTCCATCCAACAACTCTCCATCCAGTGTCTCCATCCAACAACTCTCCATCCAGTGTCTCCATCCAACAACTCTCCATCCAGTGTCTCCATCCAACAACTCTCCACCCAGTGTCTCCATCCAACAACTCTCCATCCAGTGTCTCCATCCAACAACTCTCCACCCAGTGTCTCCCTATCCAACATCTCTATACATCTCCTTGCAACACCTCCCCCTCCAGTGCTTCCCTGTTCATCATCTCTGTCTCCAGTGGCTCTGTTCAAAGCCCCATCCAACATCCCTGTCCAACACTTCCCCATCCAACATCATCCATCTCCATCCAGTGCCTCTGTCCAACGTCCTCCCACCCAACATCCCCCCCCAGCATCTCCATCCAATACCCTCAATCCGGTGTCTCCTCGTGCCACCCCCCGTGCAGCCTGTCCCCCCTGAGCCAGAGTTCCCTGGTGCCTCTCCCTGTGCCAGGGCCAGGGCTGTGCCTGTGTCCATGCTGGGCTGGGCCTGTGGTGCCCCCAAGGCTGCCCAGCCTGTGTCTCCTGCAGCTCGGTGGGAAGGAGGAGGAGGAGGAGGAGGAGGAGGAGCTCACTGAGAGGAGTGAGCAGGACTCGGGCATCAACGAGGAGCCGCTGCTGACAGCTGAGCAGGTACCCCCATCCCCTGGGCACCTGGATCCCTGCGTGTCCTTTAACCCCCCCAGCCCCATGGCCATGTGCTGAAAGCACAAGGAAAGGCCAAATCCCATTATCTTGGGATGAGGATGTGGAATGTGGATGTAAAGGGAAGTGCAGGTGGTGAGTGCTGACACGGGATTTGGGTGCAGATGGGAACGTGGGGTGGGGGTGCTGGATAAAGTGGGTGGCATGGGAAGAATGAAAGGGGTAGGGGGGCAGAGGTGGGTTGCAGCTCCAGGATGCTGGTGCAGAGGCAGGATGTGGATGTGGGGTGCAGGTGTGGGATGCAGGGTGTAGATGTGGGATGCAGGGTGCAGGGTGCAGGTGTGGGGTGCAGGATTCAGGGTACAGATGTGGGATGCAGGATGCAGATGTGGGATGCAGGGTGCAGGTGTGGGATGCAGGGTGCAGATGTGGGATGCAGGGTGCAGGTGTGGGATGCAGGGTGCAGGTGTGGGATGCAGGATGGAGGGTGCAGGTGCAGGGAGGGGGATGCAGAGGCAGCTGCAGGGTGTGGAGGCTGGATAGAGGATGCAGATACAGATGCAAGTACAGGATCCAGGATGCAGGAGGAGGAGGGAGGTGCAGGGAGCAGGATGCAAATTTAGGTGGGGATGCAGGTCCAGAGTGCCCATGGCATGTGGGATTTGGATGCAGATGGGAATGTGGGATGCAGATGCAGGATGCAAATGGAGGACCCGAGGTACAGATGAACGTAAATGCAAGTGTGGGTGCAGGATGGAGGGAGCAGGATGCAGCTGGAGGATGAAGAGGAGGATGGAGGATGCAGGTGCAGGATGCTCAATGTCAATAAGAAGGGAGGATGCAGATGGAGCAGTTTGCAGATGGAGGATGCAGGTGCTGATAAGGATGGAGAATGCAGGGGCAGGGTGGAAATGGAGTCAGAGGATGCAGGGGCAGGATGAAGGGAGCAGGTTGCAGATGTGGGTGCAGGACAGGGATGCAGAGGGCAGATGTGGGTGCAGGACAGGGATTCAGGGTGCAGGTGGAGGACAGGGATGCAAGTGCAGGCTGCAGCTGTGGGATGCAGGGAGCAGATACAAGGTGGAGGTCGGATGCAGGTGCAGATGGAGGACACTGATGCCCCGCAGGTCATCGAGGAGCTGGAGGAGCTGATGCAGAGTTCGCCTGACCCTGAGGCTGACCCCGAGGGTGAGGAGGAAGAGGAGGAGGAGGACGAGGAGGAGGAAACTGAGGCTGATGCTGAAGGCGAAGGTGGTGGCGGGGGCACAGAGCCCATCCTGCTGCGGGAGCTGCGGGCTTTCTCCCCTGCCCTCAACAACAACTGCTCCCACGAAGGTACGGCCAGCAGAGCCCAGGCCAGTCACTTTTGGGGGACAATTCCAACCAAATTGGACAACTGAGTCTTCCCAGGCCTCAGTGCTGGCTTGCTCCAGGGCTTGGCCAGAGGGGCTCTTGGCAAAAACTGAAGAACAGAGGGATGTGGCTCAGGGTTCGCCAGGAGCCTTCGCGTTCCACACGGAGTGCACCACGCGCATGGGATTTGTCCCTGGTGGCACAGGGTGTGTCACTGATCCCCCCAGGCATTTCACTAATTGCTCTGCTCGTTCCCCTAATTACAGAGCCCCTTTATCACACCACACATGTCACTACTCACACCATGCATGTCACTAATCGCAGCATACATGTCACTAATGGCACCATGCACATCACTGTGAATGTCCCCCAGTGCACCTTGTATGTCACTAACAGTGCCAGCCAGTTCTGTAGCTGCTCTGGGCACGGCATTAATTGGTAATTGCACAATAGATTTATTCCTTGGTGGCTCAGGAAATGCAGAGCACATCTCGCTCGCCACGAGATGCACTTTAATGGTTGCCATGTGCACTTCACTGATTGCACCGGGCATTTCCCTGCTTTCATCGTGTGTGTCACTGCACCAAGTCCAGAGGAAGCCACGGAGGTGTTCTGAGGGCTGGAGCACCTCTGGTGCAGGCTGGGAGAGCTGGGGGTGTTCAGCCTGGAGAAGAGAAGGCTCCAGGGAGACCTGAGAGCCCCTTCCAGGGCCTAAAGGGGCTCCAGGAGAGCTGGAGAGGGACTGGGGACAAAGGCCTGGAGGATAAGGGGTGATGGCTTCCTACTGCCAGAGGGAAGGGTTAGATGGGATATTGGGAAGGAATTCTTCCCTGTGAGGGTGGGGATGCCCTGGCACAGGTTGCCCAGAGGAGCTCTGGCTGCCCCATCCCTGCGAGTGTCCAAGGCCAGGTTAGACGGGGCTTGGAGCAACCTGAGCTAGTGGGAGGTGTCCCTGTCCGTGGTGGGGGGTTTGCAACGAGATAGATCTCAATGCCCCTTCCAACCCAACCCAACCCCGTCCTGGGATGTCCCTCGGGCACGTGCCCGTCTCTAACGCGGCCCCGGCGCAGGGCTGGGCCGGCTGTCGGCGCGGGAGCTGGCGGCGGCGGCGGGCCGGGCGGAGGCGGCGAGCCGGGCGCTGTCGGCGGAGCTGGTGGCACAGCTGGCACGGCGGGACGAGCTGGCCTTCGAGAAGGAGGTGAAGACGGCGTTCATCGGGGCCCTGCTGGCCGTGCAGGGCGAGCAGCGGGAACAGCGAGAGGCCGCCCGGCGCCGCCGCCGGGACAAGGGGCTGAGCCTGCAAGGGGGGCGTCCCGACCGCGGGAACCACATGCCCCGCAAGGTGCGGGGACACGGCGGCCGTGGGGACAGGGCTGGGGGCATCGGGGCCGGGCAGGGAAGGAGGTGGGGGTGTGGGGGATGTGGGGATGGGGCCACGGGGTAGGGGGTGGCGGGGACAAGATGGGGCAGAGGGACATGGGGGCAGGGGGATGAGGGTTGGGGTGGGATAGGGTAAGGTGGGGATGGGAATGGTGACAGGCTTGGGCAGAAGGACATGGGTGCAGAGGGAGGAGGGTTGAGGTGGGATGGGTGGGATGGGATGGGACAGGACGGGATGGGATGGGATTAGGGTAAAGTGGGGACAGGCTTGGACAGAGGGACATGGAATGGGGAGATGAGGGATGTGATGGGATGAGGGTGCCTGGGACAGGGGAATGTGGGGATGGAAATTGTGACAGGATGGGGGAGAAGGACATGGGGGCTGAGGGATAAGGGTTGAGGTGGGATGGGTGGAATGGGACAGGGTAAGGTGGGGATGGGAATGGTGACAGGCTTGGGCAGAGAGACATGGAGTGGGGGGGATGAGGGATGTGATGGGATGAGGGTGCATGGGACAGGGGAATGTGGGGATGGAAATGGTGACAGGATGGGGCAGAGGGACGTGGGGATATGGGCCAGGGGTGGGGGGGGACAGAGAGTAGGGGAATAGGGAGGATGTGGGATAAGATGACATGGAATGTGGGGATGAGGGGATACGGAGCAGGGGGATGGGAGGGATATGGAACAGAGGGACATGGGCAGGGTGTGGATGTGGGAGCAGAGAGCAGCTCCATGGGGGGACAGGGATGTGGGGACAGAGGAACATGGCACAGGGGGTATGTGGTGACAGGACAAAGGGACAGGGGGACATGGGGACATAGGTGGAGTGGGATCTGGGACCGGGAAAAAGGAGGGATGTGGATGGGAGTCAGGGAGCTTGGGGAATGTCGGTGCCAGAGGAGGTGCCACGGGTGATGCCGCTGTCCCCGGGAGGTGACAGGGTGACACGTGTCCCCCCAGCGCTTCAGCATGGAGGGCATCTCCAGCATCCTGCACTCCGGCCTGCGCCAGACTTTTGGTCCTGCCGCCAACGAGAAGCAGGTGCCCTTTCCTCCCCCACCCCAAAACTGCCCAAATTTGTTCCCTTTCACTCCCCCTCCCCACACTCCCCATTTCCTTGCATCCCCCAGCCCCTTTTTAAAATGATTTTAAGTTTTACAGCCCTGCTCCATCTCATACACCCTGCTAATCCATCTTGCAAAAATCACTGGTTTTCACCTCAAAAAGTCCTCCCTGATCAGGGTTGCATTTGGGTGGAGTTTGAAACACCCAATTTATTCACTACTCCCCAAAATCGCAGGAATATTGCAGAAATACTCTATTTCTCTGTGAATTTGGGGTGGGATTTGTCTCAAAGCAGTGCAAAAACCAGGCAGTTTTGTGCCATCTGGGTGGTTTTTTGGGGTGGCTTTTGTTTTTGCAGTACCTGAACACGGTGATTCCCTACGAGAAGAAGGGCTCACCACCCTCCGTCGAGGACCTGCAGATGCTCACCAACAGTGAGTATTCCTTGGAGCTGGCATTTTGGGGCAGAATTGGGTGTTTTTGGGGACACAAAAGCACATTTGCATTGCTGCAGCAGCTGTGATTTGGGGTATTGTTGCAGCACAGTCAGTTTGGGGGACGACCCCCCCTTTTTTTGCATCGTTGCAGCTTGGGCAAATTGAGGTGCTACCACCTGTGTTGCATCATCATTGCAACAAACCTATTTTGGAGGGGAAATACCTGTTTTGCATCACTGCAGCACAGCTGGTTTGCAGCCAATACCTCCCCTCTGATTTATGCACCTTATAACAGCGCTGATTTGGGGCTAAATCGCTCGTTCTGCGTTGCCATGGATTGGCTAATTGGGGGTGAAAGTGCTTTTCTTTGGATGCTTCCAGACCTGCTGCATTGTGGGAAATTCTGTGGTGACTGTGGGGCTATTTTGGGGGGGAAAAGTGACATTTGGGGGGCAGCAGGGGTGGGCTCACAGCTCCATTCCCCCTCACAGTCCTGTTTGCCATGAAGGAGGGGAATGAGAAGGTGCCCACACTGCTCACGGATTACATCCTCAAAGGTACCTGCTGCCCTCCTGCCTGCTCTGGGCACTCCTTGTGTGCAGTTCCTGTGCAGCCCTTGTGCCTCTGTGCTTCCACATGGATCCCTTCTGCATCCTCCTGCATCCTCCTGCCTCTCCCTCATGTCCTTTGTGCATCCTTTGCCCTTCCCTCATGCAACTTCATGCATCCCTTACACATTTCCCATGCACCATCCATGCATCCTCAGAGAATCCTGGATCCATCCTGTGTGCATTCCTCCTGCATCTGCAGTGCATCCTTTGTGCCTCCTCCATTCCTTCAGGAATCCTGGGTGCATCTCCTGCACATCCCTCAGGCAGTCTTTGTTTAGGTTTTGTGGGTGGAGGTCCCTGTGCACCTCCCTGCACCATCCTGGGGCCCATCTGCTTCCTCCAAGCAACCTCACCACCCCCTGGGCACCCCCTCTCAGCCCTCATGCCCCGTGGGGCAGCCCTCCTGCCTCCCTCAGGCATCCCCCTTCATCTTCCTGAGCATCCTTAGGCATCCCTGTGCACACCCTCCACGCATCCTCCTGTGCACAAGCACACTCACATGCACACTCCCTCTTGTGCACTCTTGTGCACACCCTGTGCAGCCCTGTGGCACCCAGACTTGCACTGGGTATCCTTATGCATCCCCCAGGCACTCCTGGGCACTCTTGTGCATCCCTGTGCATCCTCAGTGCATCCCTGTGCATCCCTGTGCACCCTCGTGCATCCTCATGTTCCCTGTGCATCCACATGCACACTCATCTGTCCCTGTGCACACATCCTCCTGCATCCCTGTGCACACTCCTGCATCCCTGTGCATCCTCCTTCATCCTTGTGCATCCCTGTGCACGCTTGTGCATCCTCATGCATCCCAGTACATCCACACACACACTCATCTGTCCCTGTGCACACATCCCCATGCACACTCCTGCATCCCTGTGCATCCTTATGCATCCGTGTGCATCCCTGTGCACACTCCAACATCCCTCTGCATCCTCCTGCATCCCTGTGCATCCTCATTCATCCTTGTGCATCCTTATGCATCCCTGTGCACACTTCTGCATCCCTGTGCATCCTCATTCATCCTTGTGCACCCCTCTGCATCCTTCTGCACCCTTGTGCATCCCTGTGCATCCTCATGTATCCTGGTACATCCCCATGCACACTCATCTGTCCCTGTGCACATCCTCCTGCATCCCTGTGCACACTTGTGCATCCGTGTGCATCCTTGTGCACGCTTGTGCATCCTCGTGCATCCCTGTGGACACTTCTGCATCCCTGTGCATCCTCCTTCATCCTTGTGCATCCTCATTCATCCTTGTGCATCCCTGTGCACACTTGTGCATCCTCATGCATCCAGTACATCCTCACACACACTCATCTGTCCCTGTGCACACATCCTCATGCCACACTCCTGCATCCCTGTGCATTCTTATGCATCCGTGTGCATCCCTGTGCACACTCCGGCATCCCTGTGCATCCTCCTGCATCCCTGTGCATCCTCATTCATCCTTGTGCATCCCTGTGCATCCTTATGCATCCCTGTGCACACTTCTGCATCCCTGTGCATCCTCATTCATCCTTGTGCATCCCTGTGCACACTCCTGCATCCCTGTGCATCCTTGTGCACGCTTGTGCATCCTTGTGCATCCCTGTGCATCCTCCTGCATCCCTGTGCATCCTCATTCATCCTTGTGCATCCCTGTGCACACTCCTGCATCCCTGTGCATCCTTGTGCATCCCTGTGCATCCTCCTGCATCCCTGTGCATCCTCATTCATCCTTGTGCATCCCTGTGCATGCTTGTGCATCCTCATGCATCCCAGTACATCCTCACACACACTCATCTGTCCCTGTGCACACATCCTCATGCACACTCCTGTATCCCTGTGCATCCTCATTCATCCTTGTGCATCCCTGTGCACACTCCGGCATCCCTCTGCATCCTCCTGCATCCCTGTGCATCCTCATTCATCCTTATGCATCCCTGTGCACACTTATGCATCCCTGTGCATCCTCATTCATCCTTGTGCATCCCTCTGCACACTCCTGCATCCCTGTGCATCCTTGTGCATCCCTGTGCATCCTCCTGCATCCCTGTGCATCCTCCTGCATCCTTGTGCATCCCTGTGCACTCTTGTGCATCCTCACGTATCCTGGTACATCCCCACTCATCTGTCCCTGTGCACCCATCCTTATGCACACTCCTGCATCCCTGTCCATCCTCCTGCATCCTTGTGCATCCCTCTGCATCCTCACTCATCCTTGTGCATCCGTGTGAATCCTTGTGCATCCCTGTGCATCCTCCTGCATCCCTGTGCATCCTCATTCATCCTTGTGCATCCCTGTGCACACTCCCGCATCCCTCTGCATCCTTGTGCACGCTTGTGCATCCTTGTGCATCCCTCTGCATCCTCATTCATCCTTGTGCATCCCTGTGCACTCTTGTGCATTCTCATGTATCCTGGTACCTCCCCATGCACACTCATCTGTCCCTGTGCACACATCCTCCTGCACACTCCTGTCCATCCTCCTGTCCACTCCCTGTCCATCCTCCTGCATCCTTATGCATCCTTGTGCATCCCTGTTCATCCTTGTGCATCCCTGTGCCTGCTCAGGCCTCCCTGTGCCCGCAGTGCCCCCCGTGGGGTGCCCCCCAGGCCTCTCTCTCTCTCTCTTTGCAGTGCTCTGCCCGACCTGACGCGGCGCTGCCCTCGCACCCCCACCCCGGCGCCCCCCAAAACGGGGCCAAACCCGAGGAAAACGGGTCGCCCGTGGCCCCCTCCCCTGCACTCCTCCCTTTGCACAGCTGGGAATAAAGGATTCCTTACATTAATTAGGCAACTGGCCTCCGGTGTCTGTGTCCCCTCTGCTCCCGACGGCGGCGCTTTGCAACTTTTTGATAGGAAAAATGCAGTTTTTAAGCAAAAAAATCCCAACGTGGACTTTGCTGCAGTGCTCATGAATATTCTGGAATCCGTAAAATATGCAGATTTCTGGCTAACGAGCTGCTGGGTGCTCAGAGGTGGCTGCAGCTGCTGGCATCCCAGGGGTGAAATTCAACTCAGTGAAATTCCATTCTCAGGGATTTTTTCCCCCCCCCTTTTTTTTTTTTCACTTTTCTGCAGCCCCATTTTCTGCTAAAAATTGTGCAAAAATCACCTTTTTTCCCCCCAGAATATCAACAAATTAATTAGCAATGGCTTGTTAGGGAATGAGGGGGGCTTCTATTTCAGAGAAAATTGCTCTGTTTTGGGTTTGTTGCTCATTTTTGGGTAGAGTCCCTAATTTGGGGGGTCATTGCTCATTTTTGGAGAGTTGTCGTTCATTTTGGGGCAAATTCAGTCATTTTGGGGGTAGGCACTTATTTAAGAGAGTCACTCATTTCCAGGAGGATCACCAGTTTTGGGGGCATGTCACTTATTTGGGGGATTATTGCTCATTTTGGGGGAGAATTGTTCATTTGGGGGAAACATTGTGGTTTTGAGATCATGTTTGGGCCCCACTTCAAGAAAAATCCCTTCATTTTGGAGGAGCATCCCTCTTTTGGGGAGAGCTTCATTCATTTTTGGAAAATGCTACTTTTTGCTGGGAGGGTTGGGGAAACACCTGAAATTTTGGGGCACATCCCTCATTTTTAGAAAGCACAGCAACGTTTTGGGGCAGCATCACCCATTCTGGGGTGGGTCACTCCTCTTTGGGAAGCATCACTTTTTTGGGGGGAGAATCATTCCCTTTGGGAGAGTACAACTCATTTTGGGGTGAACATCACACATTCTGGGGTGAGCACTCATTTTTTGGGGAGAATCACTCATTTCAGGGGGATATTTGCCCCTTTTGGGTCACTGCTGGGTTTTGAGCATCCCTCATTTTTGGAGACCATAACTCATTCTGAGGCTGAGCATCACCCATTTTGGGGTTGTGTGTAACATTTTAGGGAAGAGAATCACTCATTTTTGGAGAACTTAGCTCATTTTGGGGTAACCACCACTAATTTGGGGGCTATATAATTAATTTGTGGGCAAAATCCCGTTGGAGCTCATTTGGGGTGGAGGGGCACCTCTCATTTTTGGGGGACTGTCACTTATGGAAGTATAAATCCAATTTTCTCCACATAACTACCAATTTGGGTCCATTCACCCATTTGGTGGGGAAGTTATTCCAGCATTTTGGATCTTCTCTGCTCACAGGAAGAAGCTGCCAAGAAAATACAGCTGCAACCCCTCATCTCGTAGCACTTTATAATAAATGGCCAGGAATTAATACTAAATTACAATGAATCCTTTATGAAATTACAGATTACATTCACGCCAGATCAGTATTGAAAAATAGGCTTTTCTGCCTATTGCATCACTCGTGTTTTTTTCCCTGGCTCCTGTTTGGGTTTCTTTATCAACCCTCCAAGAGCCAAAAAAAAAAAAAAAAAAAAAAAAAAAAAAAAAAAGAAAAGGACAATATGGGCAAAAAGCCACAAAGAGAATTATCCCTCTGATAGAATCCTACGTTTAGAGCAGGAACCTGCAGAAGAAAATTCCTTTATTTTTGCCCTGGTTTGCTTTTGCGTTTCCTCCCATGCCACGTTTTAAGGCGAAATACACCCTTCTTGTTAGCATTGAAAAATTAAGAAAAAAAACCAAATTCAGGGGTTTTGGCAGTTGCCCTCCCCCCGTGGTGCTAAAACTCCACCATTTTCCCACGTGGAGGGACAATTCCAGGGAGAAACCATTGAGATTCCTTCCACCCATGCGAATCCTGGGGGGGGGGGGTCGCCGTTCAATTCTGGGTGAAATCTTGCATTTTTTTTAAACTCATCTTTTTTCCCATTTTTTTCCTGAATCAGTGCCAAAGCTCCTTGGAAAAGTTTCACTCCTGGCAGCCTTTGCCCCAACTCTGCGTCCCTTAAGGACGAGAATGGGGCGAGTTGGGTTTTTTTTTCCAGATTCGACGGGTTTTTAGCACATAAATTAAAGGATTTGGAGGAACTTCCTCCCTTTTCCAGAAAGTTGTGTCCGGAGTCACCAAACAGCCGCAGCATCGGGGGCAAAGTGGGGAGGTTTGGGCAATCCAGAGGGCTGAGCACCAAACCCTCCTCAGATCCAGCAGAACTTGCACTCGCCGGTTGTTTTTCTTCCCCCTCCGCGCTGATATTTATGCCTGTGAATAACCTTTTTGGGGGGGAAAAACCCAAAAAGCATCAAGTCCCGGGGTCGGTGTGGTTTTCCCTTCGCGCCAAGAAATCCAAGGGATGGACGGGGGGGTGGAAAACCCGCGGTGGGAAAACCCCACCCTCGCCCGGCGGCATCCGAGCGTCGCGCGGGGAAAACGCCGCTCCCTAAAAACGCTTCCGCTTACCCCAAAAAAAATTAAAAGGGGGGAAAAGAAAAAGAAAAGAAAAAAAAAAAAAAAAACAAAACCTGAAATAAAAGATTAATTTTGGCCACAATATGTGCCTTTTGTAAACATGTGTCCTTCACTTCCAGGCGCCGGCAGGGCGGTGCCCGCGCTCCCGTGGGCTCCCGCCGGCGCCGCCAGTTTGCTTTTCTCTCCCGAATTGTTTTTTGTTCTTGCCTTTTTTTGTTTTTGGCATTTCGAAGGGGGGGGGGGGAATTTCGTGTCCGGTGGTGTCAAGTGATTTGGGGAGGGTGCAGGAGGAGCTATTCCAGCGAGTCACTGTGGTCCAAGCCAAGGTCAGCGCCGGGTGCTGCTGGGAGGCCACCGGGCTCTTCCTCGAGCTCTTCCTCCTCTTCCTCCTCCTCCTCCATCTCGTCCTCGTCCTCCTCATCCTCCTCCTCTTCCTCGGTGCCGTCCAGGGAGTCCTCGTGGGCTGCCAGCATGGCCTGCTGCATGGCCATGGTGGCTGTGGCTGATGAGAGGGGTTGGAGGTTGTCCATGCTGAGCGAGCCTGAAGTGTAAAAAAAATAAAGAAATAAGGATTCCCCAGCTGATACAGAAAGGACAAAAAAGTGCATAAACCAGGAATAAACCAAGTGAAAAGCTCAGGGAGCACCCTGTAGAGCGTCCCACCTGCACCAGTCACTCCCCAGTGTCCAACCCTTAATTTTTCCAGCTAATGTATCGTTGTTAAATGACAAAAGACCTTCACTTCTGAGCAAGTAGATGCCCAAATTGGTTGGGCAGATCTTGTCTTCATCTTCTCTTAATTCCCACATTTCATTCTCTTCATCTCCTCATCTTGCCTGGTCTATGCTCATCTGCTCTCTTCACCTCTTCCTCTTCCCTCCCCTTCATTTTCCTCGTCTGTTCCCTGTTCATCCCTCTTCCCACCTTGTCTCATCTGTCACCTGACCTTAATTCTTTCATTTTCATCACCTCTTCTCTTCATCTTCTCTCTTCCCATTTAGTCTCATCTGCCTTCTCATTCCATCTCTCCATCTCTCCTCTCCTCCCTTCCCCTCCCCTCCCTTCCCCTCTCCCTATTTCCCCCTTTTCCCCTTCCCAGCACCTCAGGAGACATCCCAAATCCCGAGTGGGTGGTTGCTGAGGGCTGTTCCTGTGCCAAGGGGATGGCAGTGCCCCATTGCCAGTGCCTTGCCACGGCCAACTGGAAGGAACTTCTTGCGTGGGCCACACGTTTTTCCCCAGAGTGTGATAAAGGGCTCTAGAACTCCTTAATTACTAATTAAGGCCATCACTTAATGCATGGCCACTCCCTCCTGGAAGGGCAGGGGGCACTGGGCTCTGTCCTTACCGTCAGGATTTGTCCCTGAATTGCCACCCTGCTGCTGCAGGACCCCGGCAGCGATGGAGTTGGGCCAGAACCTCTGCGTGGGCCGGTGCTGAGATTTGATTTTCTTGGCTTTGGGGGCAGGATCCGGGTTGCTGGCATCGAGCATGGGCTGCAGGATGCGCCTCCGGGCATTTATGAACCTTTCCAAGGAAAAGGGAGAACACTGGAGTAAACGTGAGTCCCTACACCAGCACTGAGTTAAAACAACAGACACCGTGGCAAAGCAATGAGTTGCGATATAAAACCTTTCCAAAAGTGGTTCAGAAACCTGGGGGGGTTGGTTCTATTCCATTACACCACTGCACTGATTTTTCCAGCTGAGTGGGAAGGTGCCACACACTGGATTTGCCAGGAGAGGGCACTGAGACCTCACAAAGCAACGCTGCACTGAACACAACTGATCTTGTCTCCCAGAAATCACAGAATTGCAGATTATGCCGAGTTGGGAGGGACTTATCAGGGTCATGGAGGATCACTGAGTCCAACTCTTGGCCCTACGTAGGACACCCCAAAAATCGGCCCTAACACCCAAGTTACCCCCCAAAAAGCAGTCCACAGCACCAAAATAGTGTGGAAAAAAGTCCTAAAGCCAACAAGCAGGCCACTACTGCACTCACCAGTTGTTGACTTGCAAGAGGGTCAGGTTGGTTTGGGCAGCAATTTGCCTCTTCTCGTCCTCTGTGGGGTAGGGGTGCTGGAAAAAAAGAGGGATGGGGCAGCAAGATGACATCCCTGCATGCAAACCAGCGGGCCTGAGTGAAAAATATAATGAAAAGCTGCCTTTTTTTTTTTAATTTATTTTCCCACCCTAAATTTGGTGGGTTCTTGCATTTGCAAGATGCACGGTTGAAGGATGGCATCCAAGAGCATCAAGATTTCCCTGGTGTCCTGAGGGCTTTTCCAAGGCTTTCCATCAAAGGCTTTTCCTTCAAGAAAAACGTTCTTTTTTTTTCTTTTTTTTTTAAATTTTAGCTATTTTCTAACGACTGTTGTTGGTAAAGGTGGGATTTGGGATCCAAAACCCGAGACCCACAACACATTGTCAGAGGCACCAATAAAACACTCTGAGACATCTGCACTGGGAGACCACCAGCACTCAAAGCTTCAGCAACCTCCTCCCAGCCGTGCTGAAATCCTCCTTTCCAACCCCAAAAATGAAATTATCAAACCAGCCCCATGTGTCACTTTTAGGAGCCTCCAGTCAGTGACAGTGTTGATTGCAGTGATTTGTTTTCCAGCTGTCACCCCCAAAACAGTGGGATTTCCTTGACAAAACCACCCCAACTCAGTGCACACTGGAGACTCACGTCCCACCAGAGCCTCAGTGGTTAAAAAAGGCTCCTTTTCTTGGCAGAATTATCCCCATTTTTGGTCTATTATTCCCAGCATTCTTTCTTCCTGCTGGTGCATCCACTAAGATGATGAGCATTGATGCTATGTGGTTAAAAACCACATTATCCATGATGCCAGATGGAGAAATCCCATGGAGAAGCCCAAGTTTCTTCTGACCAAGCTGAGAGCAAAGGTCCAACACCCCCCAGCTGGAGAATTTCTTTTAGTTTTTTTCAATCCTGCTTTGGAAATCTCAAACCATGGGGTTCTCCTGGTACCTGGTAGGAAATGGCTTCTCAGTTTCTGGTCTTCTAAATCCTTTTTTTGTTTGCAAACCTGCAGCTCTGCCCTCCAGAAATGACCCAGCTGGGGATGGCAGCCCAAAGCTGTGACACTCCTGTCCTCAATCCAGTAAATCCAAAATTTCCCATTTAAAAAAAAAAAAAAAAAAAAGGCTGGGAAGTCCCCAACCTGCTGCTGCTCCACATCCTGGCTGAGGTTTTTCCACAAGTTGCTCCTTGGAGCTGCTGTTTTCTGCATTGCTGATGCCTTGGGGATCTCCCACCTTCCCAGAGAGCAAGTCTTTGCAACCAGTTTCCAACTGATTTCTTGGCTGAATGATGCAGGAAAAAGGGATTTTTAGCATTTTGCCTTTCTCCCAGCCCTGCTGAGGGGAGAGAATTCTTCTTGCAGGAAAATATTGAGGTTGCATCTAAGCCTACCTCCATCTCCAATCCCCCAAAATGGAGTGATTTTGTAATTCTGCATTTTGACTGACTGCTGATGTGCCACAGCCCTACCTATGAGGCAGCTTTCACATTTCAGCCTGCTAGGAAAGGGTATTCTGGAGCTGTTAACTGCAAAAAACCCACTCTATTATCCATCTGCAAAAGTTCAGGGAAGTCCCCTTTTAGTTTTGTTCCCTTCTTCATGCCTTGAGGGAACATTTTGCTCACCTGCAGTGAAGTCATGCCCAAAATACTACCAAAAATACAAGCAAAGCCACTTTGTGCCTCCGAATACAGATTCAGACAAACCACCACCTGGAACTGAACATTTTGGGGCTTTTTTTTTCCTTTTTTTTCCCCCCAGCTTGCAGGGTGTTTTGGCCACTGTGGTGCTCACCATGAGATGCTGGAAGAGCCAGGAGCGCATGATGTTGGTGGCGTGTTTGGGCAGGACGCCCCGTTTGTTCTTGGACTTCTTGTCCTCACCGTCAAGGAGGGAGGTGAGATCCAGGTTCACCTGCCAGGGGAGAGGGGTGGGGAGAGAATTGGTGGAAAGTGGCAATTGGCAGCCCAAAAAATGAGCAAAACCACCCCAGAAATGAGCAAAGCCAACCCAGATTGGGGGTGGGATAAGTGCAAAAAAACCAGCACTTACAGAGAGTATCTAAAACCCATTTCTCCCTCCACCAAATGTGCATTAAATCCTATATATCCTATAATATATAGTACACAATTAATACAGAATATATAATTTACAATATATAATATAGCATATAGAATAGAATGGAATATGTTTTATTATACATTATATCAGATATTGTTTTATATTATTATTATTATATTGCACAATATAATGTGCATTAAATGCACATTTTCTCCCAGGATCTGTATTTTTTATCTCCACTTTTTTGTTAATGCTTTGCAAGGGACAATGGTATAGTTGGGGACTGTGGTGATGAAGCCACAACCAATTTCAACGTGTGATTTAAGAGGAAAACACTTTTACCTTAAAAAAATCAGTGGAAAATAAACCCAAACCTCATAAAAAGATGATTTTCTCAACTGAAAGTTAAAACCCTGTCACTCACTGACCCCTTGCAAATCCAGGGTTCTCATCCAGCTGATTCCCACCACAAGAAAGATGCTCTTTCCCACCACAAGGAGGAAGATGTCCATTGAGCCAAAATTTGCTTTTTCCCTCCCCCAAAATTAAAAATAAGCATCTTGCTGCAAGAGAAGTTTTAATGAGGAGGCAGGAACCGAACGGAAATCTAAGCACTTGAGTTAAAAAGAGATTTTTTTCTTCCACCTCTTCATCAAAACACTTCTCCTGGATGAATTAAACATCAGGCCAGCAGGTCCCTGTGATTCCCCTGGGCTCCAGCTGAATAAATCATGCTGGCAGCACAGGAAGAGCATCCGGAGGTGCTTGTCCAGGGCTCTCTCCCTGCCCCAATATTCCCTGTGCGTGTGTTTTTCCCACCACAGAGGGTTTTGCTGCAAGATTTAAAGCTGTGATGGGGAGATATTAAAGAAGGACATTTTTTTAAAGCATTGCACAGGCAATAAAAGCTGGCAGGGAGGTGCCACCCCTTTCCAAAGTGCCGTTTATTGATTGTTCTGTAAGAGGCTCCTGCAACTAAAATGGAGCATCTCAGAAAAAGTGGGGGTGGATTTTTGCTGCTCTGCCCCTGGGAAGCAGCACAGCAGGAATGGATGGGGTTTTTTTCCCCCCCAAATTCCTGGGGAATGGAGGTTAGGAAGAACTCGTTGCCTTATTGCAAGAATGCAGGGAAACCCTGCGTAGCTCACTGCAATGCCAAAAAAAGAAAACCAAAAAACCAAACCAAAACTGGACTAAAACCAGAGCAAATGGTTAAAAAATATCCCCAAATCAAGGAAGCAAGATAAAACAAATGAGCCTTTCTCACAAGCTGTGATTGCAGTACTGGACAGGCAATGCCAGTGATCCCAGATCACAATATATATCAATACTGCTGATATAATATATCAGCAATAACATCTATCCTATCCTAGCCCATCCTATCCTTTCCCATCCCATCCTATCCTATAATATATAGTATACAATTAATATAGAATATATAATTTGCAATATATAATATAGCATATAGAATAGAATGGAATATGTTTTATTATACATTATATCAGATATTGTTTTATATTATTATTATATTGCACAATAGAATATTACGTGCATTGTTACATATTATATATTGCAGTATTCAGTAACAATAATATAAGTGTTGCTGTAACAACTTAGATCATTGCCATAATTCATTAGGCACCCCAAGGGCACTTGGCAGATGGATTTAATCAACGCTTCTTGCTAATTAAAAATTTAGGATACTCCCAGGGTTGAATTCCAACTCAGCATATTCCGTGAATTCGTGGAGAAACTGGGGGACTCTGCCTGCTGCAGTGCCAGGCGCTGGGTACAGGGGGGATTTGGGGTGGGAAGGTCTCACCTGGGCGTTGGGGATCTGCAGGGCACCGGGGGCGATGGCTTGGGCGAGGACCTGGCCCTGCGACGTCACCATGGTCACGGGCTGGTACAGGGCTCCACCTGTGCAAAGGAACACTCGTGAGGGCACTGAAACCCGGGGGGGGGTTTAGCTTAGGCCTTCCTGGTAACCAGGTCGAAAGCAGGGAAGTGGTCATGTCCCAGGATTCCATCCCATTGTCCTAGTTAGAACAGCTGGGACCAGTTCATCACTGGATGGGTGTAACCCAAAACTGGGTATTCCAGAGCCTTCCATGCCACTGCCCAGAAACTGTTCTCAATGAACCATTTACACCCTCTGCCCAGAGCACCCCTGACTCCTCAGGCTGTAAACTGGGTGTTCAGAGGCCTGGGAGACAGGAGGGTGCTCCTGTCCTCACACCCATTGTGGAACTGGGAGATAGGAGGGTGCTCCTGTCCTCACACCCAGTGTGGAACTGGGAGATAGGAGGGTGCTCCTGTGCTCACACCCAGTGTGGAACTGGGAGACAGGAGGGTGCTCCTGTCCTCACACCCAGTGTGGAACTCCCTGCCCTGAGGGAGGCACTGGGCATTCCTGCCTGAACCTGAGGATATATAATCTTGGGGTCTTGGGACTTTTTTAACCACTTGTGGGATCCAGAGGAAGACTGCAGATCACCACTCTCAACCAGACTGCAACCACCACTCTTGACTGGACTGCAACCACCACTTTTCAACCAGACTGCAACAACCACTCTTGACCAGACTGCACCAGCACCCTCACCAACAGATTTTCCCCTCTCCTTTTCCTTTGGACTCAGGGAGCCCAACGAACACCACTCTGTCCATGCCCCAGGGTGCTGGGTTATACATTTGGGTTTTGAGGGTTAAAACCAATTGTTTGTCTGTATAATCACACTTATTGTATTATTTTATTAAACTGTTATTCTGATTTATAATCTCTCTTTTGGGTTGGGTTCATTTCCCCTGCTGGTTTACCTTTAAACCAGCACACCGATTTTTTATGTAAGCAAGAGTATAAATAAGAAGGAGAGAGGAGGGTCTGCCCTCTTCTCTTCCACTGGACTTGAAAACAGCAGGTCCCTGCTTGCTTATCTGGGACTGAGGCCTGCTGTGGCCTGTTGTTTTCCCAAATCCAGGAGCAGAGATCTTGGTGGAGTGGCTTTCTGCTTTCTCAAGGGAAGCATTAATACTCTTAGTTTGCTAGCTCTCTATTAGCTGGGTATATCTGGATATATCTGGTTTGTTGGGGTTTTTTTCCCCTCTGTTTTTTGTTTTGGGGGTTGAGGTTCTCTTTCTTACATGTATATAGTGTTTTTATAACTGTAAATAAGTGTAAATATATATATACTGGTTTGAATCTGTTACTCTGGGTTCTCTGTTGTTTTTTTTTTCTTTTCCTTCCCTCTCTCCTTTGCCCAGAGAGAGGTTGGAGGGTGGGGGGAGACGTTCGGTGTGGTTCGGGGACTTTTGGGGTTTAGGTTCTCTTTCTTACATGTACATAGTGTTTTTATAACTGTAAATAAGTGTAAATATACATATATATATATATATATACTGCTCCAAATCTGTTGCTCTGGGTTCTCTGTTTGTTTTTTTTCTTTTCCTTCCCTCTCTCCTTTGCCCAGAAAGAGGTTGGAGGGTGGGGGGAGACGTTCAATGTGGTTCAGGGACTTTGGGGGTTGAGGTTCTCTTTCTTATATGTATATAGTGGTTTTACAACTGTAAATAAGTCTAAATATACATATATATACTGCTCCAGATCTGTTGCTCTGGGTTCTCTGTTGGTTTTATTTTTCTTTTCCTTCCCTCTCTCCTTTGCCCAGAAAGAGGGTGGAGTGACGTTCGGTGTGGTTCGGGGACTCCGTGGGGAGCCAACTCCAAACTGAGACAACCCCCCCAAATTCCTCCCTGCCCCCCCAAGCCTTCCCCGTGGCCCCTACCTGGCACGGCGGGCGAGCCACCGCCGGTGCTCATGGCCAGGTTGCCCGGTGGCAGCGCGGCCGCCGGCACCACGATGCCCGGCGGTGGGTTGGAGGCGGGTGGCAGGGCTGCTGGAGAGCTCTGCAGCATCTCCTGCAGGGGGGAGAAAAGCAAAAATATATGAAACCCGTGAATTTTAACACGAGAACTTCGCCCCGTTGCTCTTTATTTGTTCCTGCCGTCTAACAGTGCAGAAAAGGGGGATTTTTCAGGTTGTCACAAGAAAGAGATGGAAAAATAAGGATTTATGCTCTGCCAGGCTCCCACTTGGCATCTTCCCCACACTCACCTTCTTTATGCAGCCACTGGTTCCCATAAGGAAAAACGAAAGGGAATAAAAGGATCGGGATAGACCAGAAGCTGCAGCTCCTTTTCTCCACTCAACAGAACTGCAGAGATGGGGATCTGAACACACCAACCAATTAATTTTCCATCAAGCCCTGGGTGCATCATCCCACAGGGAGTTTGGGCACTCTGTGTCCACGCTGATGCATTTCCCATTGCTGGGGGGAGGGAAATGCCATCTCAGTGGTGTCCAAAAAGGCAGAATATTGGTAATTATTAGAAAAAGACATGAAAGAAATTCATGGTGTTTCTGCAATAGAACTGTGAAACCAAGGGGACCCAATGGAAGTGGAGGCTCTGCCTTAAAATAAATACAGAGAGATATCTCCAAGAAGATTTAAAAAAATATATTTTGCATACTAATTCCTCAGATTGCAAATGTCAGCCAAATTCTATTACACTTGGTAGTTTTGCTGCAGTGGAAAATATTTTATATTTTGAGACTCAAAGAAGTTCATGGAATTCTAGAATGATTTGGGTGGGAAGGGACCTTAAAGCCCACCTCATTCCAACCCCATGCCATGGGACACCTTCCACTAGCCCAGGTTGTTCCAAACCCCGTCCAACCTGGCCTTGGACACTTCCAGGGATGGGGCAGCCACAGCTTCTCTGGGCAACCTGGGCCAGGGCCTCCCCACCCTCAAGCTGAAACGTTTTTGGCAATTTTGAAACCTGAGTGTGAGAAAATACATCACTAGGGGTCTCTGCAGATCCACATCTCAGCACTGACCAATGGCAAAACACAATTTCTCCAAATCAAAAGTCACTTTGGTGAAGAAAAAGACCTGGCACAAAAAAATATCCTTTTTTCCAATAAGGCAAATATCCAAGTGCCCAAGTGTAAGTAAGTGCTAAAATTCAGTGCTATTGAGCTGCTGCTCTTCCCCTTGTGCTTTACACCACAGGCATTTATTTTCGTGCTTCACCCTAACTTTATGCAAATTACTTGTGCTGGGGGAAACTGGGATTAGTTGGAGAGAAAACAAACCCATGGTAAGGTGATCCATAAGGTCCCTTCATGAATGGATGGGTGGATGGAGATGAGAAAAGAGTTGGCTTTAAATAACAGAGGAATCCAGGCTTGTCCACAGGGAAAACTTGGATAAATTAAGATCTATATAGAGAAGCACTGCATGGATATTCACTAACCCATCAGCCTCCAACCACCAGCAACCTGGGCTAGTGGAAGGTGGCCCTGCCCATGGCAGGAGGTTGGAATGAGATGAACTTTAAGGTCCCTTCCAACTCAAACCATTCCATGATTCTATGGCGAAGGAATTGGAGAAGCAGAGGTGCTGTCCTGAAAATGCCCGTTCGAGCACTGCCAATGTGAAACAAGAGCTGAAAAATGCAAAATTTGGGTTCAATTTAAATGTCCCCCAGCAGCACTGGGGTCTCTGATGGGATTGGCTTTGTGGTGGGTTTTTTCTTACAAGTGATGACCCCTTGATGTCGAAGGGAAGTTGGACTGACTTTAAGCATTGGGTTAAATTAGTTAAGGGAGGACTCCACCATGAAAGAAGCACCTCCCCTGTCCCATCCCTGTCTGAAAAACTAAAAAAATATTTATTAAATGAAGGGAGGGGGTTAAAAATGGCCTGATACAGATTCAAGGGAGAGGAATGAAGCCAAGTGAAAAAAACCATCAAAACTGGCAGAAGGGGAATCGCTTGGTGGAACTGCAGGACACAGAGGCTACAACTCCTCCACAAAACAAAGCAGAGCACAAAATGAGAAAGCAATGGAGAAAACAGGGTAGAAAAACATCTGTAAGGTAATGAAGGTTCAGGGAAGGTGGGGAAACCCCTAACTTGTCACCCAAACTTGCCCAACACCAGGAGTCCTCTCTACACTTGGTGACATAAGAAGATTTAAACAAGAGTCAAAACACCTGTTTTTGAGTGTTCTCTCATATTCCATCATCTCCAAGCATTTTTTGCAATTCCAGAAATTCTTGCATCTCTTTTCAACGTTAGAAAGCACAAATAACACCAGGTCAAGGGCCTTTTTGGATGCCCCAGGGAAATCCAGCAGCAATGGTCCTGTGATGACATTTTGACAGCTCCAGACATTGTTTTCCCATTTTTGTTTGACATTGTTGTTACCGTGTATCCATATTTTTTAAACATTCTGTCCTGTGGTAAAAACTTTGAAAAAACCTGAAGCATTTCACTTTCATGGCAAACTTGGTGTATCTCCTCACAAAATGACTGTCACTCCTCCCAAACCCCAACAAAACCCATTTACTGAGAAACCTCATTCATTGATATTAATTGTATTTTGTCATTTAGACTTTTTTTTTTTCCAAATCCTAAATTAATGGCCCATTCACTCTTGCACCTTCCCTCAGCATGAGACAAATAGGTCAATAATTAGAGAAATCATCCCACTTGCCATTTTTTAAACACTGATCCCATGAATTTTCAGCTCTCTGGAGCATCCTCAGCCCTTAAAACTCAACTGAGGGATACAGTGTTTCCACCCTTAAAACTCAACTGAGGGATACAGAGTATTTCCACCCTGGTTTTTTAAGCCTTTTCCATGCAAACTCAAGTATCCTCAATGAGTTTAAAGTTGATGTTTCTTAGTTGGATACTTAGAAAATATTTGCCGTTGTACTGTCAACAGCATCTCGTCCTCATCCAAGGACCAGACGAGACAGTGGCTCACTGGGAGTATTTCAGCTCCTGTTGCCTGCTGAAAACCCCTTAGTCTGTTGAGTGAACATCTCCCCTCCAGCTGGGTCTTTCCTGGGTGTGTTCCCATTTATTCAGCAACTGCTTTCAAATCCTCACTTGAATTCCTCAACTTTCAATTCTTGCCCGGAAGGGAAACGTCGGCGGCTCCGGGTTTGCAGGAATCAGAGGCAGCTTGGTACCTCTCCATGGGCCTGATTATTTCCCAAAGACTTGTGCTAATTTTCTGATATGATCCCCACCTCTTTGTGAGGCGCTAAATCCTCATTACTTCTCCTGACCGACGCATTCTAATTAGATCAACACTTTGGAGGGGAAAAAAAAAAAAAAAAAGAGGAAAGGAGAGAGAGGGGGGGGGAAAAAAAACCCCACAATAGCCACAGGACGGCTTTCCATCTCATTAACTCCCTCACTTATTATTTTCATGAAAATTACTGATAAAAAACGTGCATCTCCATTTGCTGGGACCGGGAGCTTCGTCGGCTCATATCTAACATCTCTCTCATCACCCGGGATGTGAGCTGTTGCCATGGCAATGCACAATAATAGAAACTAATAAATTACAAACGAGATGCTCGTTGAGCAATTATTGTTCTCTTTTATGCAAGTGTCTTGCTAATTTTGATCATAAGGAATGCTACCATAAAGCAGCGAAGGGATAATAAGTCCATTTCTAGAGATTATTAGAAAATAGAGTGAGGATGGGGTTTTTTAGATCAATGATTAAGTGGTTTGGTGCTTTCAGGGAACCCAAATGAGAAATGGAACTTTTCTGGGGGGTTTTTCCTTCATAGTGCTGGGAGCTTCAAACTCTGTAGCACCCGGAGCTGGGCTACTAAAAATGCTATTTATTTTTCCTTTCCATCACCTTGAAATGCCCTGAAAAGCCCTAAAAAGCCCCCACAACCCGCCTCCTTTTTAGGGAGAACCCCAGGAGCTGCCTGGGTTATTTTGGGTTGGCTGCAGTTATTCCTGGTGGGATTGTACAACCCTAAATTTCTCATTTTTCTACCCCCAAAAACTGAGTGTCTGAGACAGACAAATCCCCTAGAGACATGCAGTATATCAAGTTATTTGGGATGTAACCAGTCAAGATTTATTCCCTGCAGTGCAGATGCATGTGAAAACCCCAAAACATGGGCAAGTTCTTTTCCAAATATTAAAGTTACAACCCCTTATTTTGCCCCAAAAACCACCAAGGTGCAGCTTGGTTTGGCCACTTCAGTTGATATTTTTGCAATTCTCAGAAAGAGAACATTTCCCTGTACTCTTCCACTATGCTTGAGGCACCAAATGTTTTCTTCTCACAGCTAAAATCCAAGTTATGCAAAAAAGAAGCGAAGGGAATGTTGATCATGCTGGGGAAGAACTGTAAGATGTGCTGAGGCCCCAGAAAAAGAGCAGTGAAGCCAAAAAGGGTTATCTGAGACCCAAAAATCTGTTGAGCTGCCTTGAAACAAACAGGGAGAGAGAAGCAGTGAAGAAAATCACAGTGTTTCTGCCCCTCCTGCCAATAATTACTATTTTTTCACGAAAAAAAATGCTGATTTTTTGTTGATATTCCTTCCCCTCACATTTCATTGCTGCAGCATTAGAGTTTAGGAGAAGTCCTCCACTCTCCTTTCTGCAGAGTCACAACCATTGTGGGTTGCAGCTCTGCCATAAAAATAATTAAAATAAAGAAAAAAATCAACCACAGCGTCACTTGATATACGAGCAAGATACAGAGGGGTTTTTTTTTCATTATTGGGGACGGATTTTGAGGAGGCCACAACTGTTGTAGAGCAGCTCTGAAGCCTTGTTGGCCCAACTTGGCCAAGGTGCAACGATGGAGAGTAGAGAGGAATTTTAAGGAGTTACCTGGGGGTGGAGGCTGATGGAGGAGGGGTTGGGGGAGTAGGGCCCCCCCAGGTCATTCCTGAGTAGGTTGTCACTGTGCATCTTGGTTTTGAGGCAGGTGATGTAGCGGTTGCAAAAGTCCTTGCACAACTCATTGACCTTCTCCAGCTCCAGGAGGTGGATGCGCAGCACCTGGATCGCCTTCACCATCTACGCAAGGGCACACGATGGCAAAGTTAAAAGAATGCTTTTCCTCAGGGAAAAAACACCCAAAAAAATCAGTATTCTCACCCCAAAATCAGTGGAACTGATCCCTGTGGTAGAAACAAATTAATTTCCTTTCTCGGCACACCAAAAAAAAAAATAAAAAATCAATATTCTCGCCCCAAAGCCCATCCCAGAGCCCATCTGTCTGCACATCTGCATTTCTTTTCCTTCCCCATCAATGAAATTCCAAAGAGGAAAAAAAAAAAATCACCAAATTCACCGTTACCTTCGTGGGAATTGCTTCCTGTGCCTCCCTCCCCTCCCCCTCCCAAAAAAAAAAAATTCCAAGCCAAAACCCTGGATGTTGAAAAGTGTTTGGTTATTCTCCAGAGGCCACTTCTTCTAACAAGATTACGGGGCTGCAACTCAGCCGTGAGCTGTTGCTGGTGCAAAGCCTGGGCCTCATTAAAACGTACCCCATAAACCTTAAAAAATTTACACATAAAACATTCCTCTCGCCGAGCTGAAACCTTAAGTTTTATAGCTGCTGTTTGAAATCTTGCATAATATATAAAATTTCAGCTATTCACTCCGGGGCAATAAATCCCGTTTTATGTAACAGAGCGTCTTTGCATTTCAAAGGGTGTTTTTAACTTGCAAATTTTAGTGGTCATCTTTACAAACTGCGAGTCGCCACGGTTGGGAAACATCCTGAAAAATTCCAGGGCCAAACTCCAGCGGTGGCTCCGCCACGGAGGAAGTGAATTTTTGGTTGGTGAACAACGGGGATGATGGGTTGTGGATGGAAAGATTTTTTTTTGGGGGGGGGGATTGGGGGGGTTTTTTGCTCTTTTTTCCCACTTTTTTCCCCCCCTTCCTCTGCAGGCAGAGCGCGAGGCGGAGGTGCCGTGCCCCGGCTTCCCGCGTCCTCCCAGGGCTCAGCGGCCATGAAAGTCAATATTCAAGGGCAAAGGCAGGAAGACCTGACACATATATGTGTAAAAAATAAATCTCTCAATTATCTCAGCTCATTTGCTTAGGGTCTCATTTTATGTCCCTGCTCCGCTGCGCCGTATATCTGTCCGGATAAAGAGTTACAGTCGGACGGCGGACGTGCGCGGGGTTGTAAAAAATACAGATGCTGAATTAATTGACTGTGTGGCACTCGGCAGCTGATTGAGTTGATAATGGTGAGATCTGACCTTTTTCTAATTTCTAATTATGTGCATCTTGGCGGTGAGGAATACATGACTCTTATTCTAATGATAGCTAATGCCACTGGCCTTTTCATCCCCGCTTTGCCGTCGCCGCTTTTCCGGCGAATCGGTGACCTCAAAAAAAAAAAAAGCCACCCACCCAACACTGAAAAAATAACAATGTAAACAGGGGAGAAGTGCCAGCTCAAGAACAGGTGGAAATGTTGAGTTTTGAGCACTGCAAGACTCTTTTCGCCCGGAATTCCCTTCAGCCAGTGCCTCCCACCAACAGGAACGGTGCTTCTTCAGCATCATGTTAAAGGTCTCCCCTGTCTTGATGCAGGTGTTCCACACTGAGCAACCTGGATGGCTTTTGGAGGAGTTCTGGGTGTTGGGTAGAACGTACACATACAAATATATACTAGAAATAGGGCAAACCCACATACACAGGGACACAGATATAGCTACAGATATGGATATAGAAAGATATAGCTATAGATAAATATGAATATGAACATATTGAGTGCAGCAAGGTTATACAGGGGATCAGTGCAACTGCCCACGGCCAAATTTCACCTTGGCAGCAAGAGTTGCTCCAAATATGCCCAAAGAACATGATTATTGTGTGGGGTTTTTTTAAGAAACCGCAAAAAAAACCCCAGGGAAAATAACCAGTGTGGACACATTTGCTGCACTATCTGCTGAAGGTGTTTCACCTTGATATGTGTAGAAATAGGTTTTCCTTCCCCAAAATTTTAGAATTTTTTTGTTGCTTCACCTGGCTCCATTCCTCTCCTCCTGCTAGATCATTACACCCATTTTTAGCTATTTTAATGCAATGGGGTTTTGTTGGTGTATCACAGCATCAGATGCGTGTTTAGTCCCAAAACTGAAATAATCCAAAACATTGGCTAGTTTGGGGGTTTTTTTGATTGCTTGTCCCAGAGTGATTTCTGTTCTTGACTACAGGTTATTGCAAAATGGGTTTAGTAACATGCAAAAGGGCTTTGCACAGCCTGCAAATTTTTTGGAGGGCATTCCACGGGCTCTTGGTTTAGGGATGTTGCAAAAATCTCCTCCACGAGCTGAAATCAGGCACAAAACGTGTGGGATTTTACTCCATCTTGAAACCACCTCTTGCATTTTTTAGGAAAGCAAGTAGTACTTGCACCTAGATGAGCTTTGCCCTTTCTTCTTCCCTTTGTGACAGATCATCATCCGAAATCACCTTCTTGATATCTGTAATACTTAGAAAAAGCTGCCTTTGAGTTGCCTGATTTTGCTTCTTTTCTGGGATGGAAATCCCTCTTCTGCACATCCCAGGGAACACACCAACACCCAGGGAAGGTGTTTTGCTCTTTGCATCATCAGAGGTGGGCAAAATTGCCCCTTAAGGCCTTGACAATCTGTTTGCAGAGCATTAGGATGTTGCCACACACCTGTCTACCCACACTTGCCATGGAGACCACGTGTGGATGCCTTCCAGACAAAATAATGGGATTTGGGGATGCTTCCTGAGGTCTGCACAAGACAGAAGCTCCACCCCAAGCACAGTCTTCTGAGGCACCTTCCAGCAGCAATGGGTACAGTAGGAAATTGGGGTTGCAGTGACAGGGAAGCCATCAAAACTGGTCCAGTGTGTCCCAAATCATTGATACCCTATGGAAAAAGCTCTCCCTTTGCCCTGCTTCTAGGACAAGAGCTGGCCATCACACTTGGAACAAGGTGGTGCCAGACAAGAATGCTGATGCTATTGAATGTTGCACTGAAGAGCAGGAATTCCTAGAGAGATTGCAAGTTTGGGGGCACAAACCATCCAGTGACCTCGGCTGTTTCCAGCAACCTCGTTGACCCCATGGAGTTTGAGTGGGAAAACCAGCCAAAAATGGGCTAGGGGTTTGTTCTCACAGGGGATCTTCTGGAAAAGGTCTCAGAGAAGGTAATGGAGAAGGTGTCACAAGGTCTATGGAGAACATTGCCAAGAGATCCAACACTACAGAGCCCAAAGACATGGGGGCAGGTCTTAATTTGCTCCTCACCCTCCACCTTCTTGCCACCCCCCCCCCGCCAAAAACCATCTGCCAAGCCTCAGCTGCCTCTACCAGGTTGTCCAGCTCGGGGTCATCACTGAAGAAGGGCTTGTGCTCCTGCTCCTGCTGGTGGACAAAGTTCTCGATGTCGACATCGAAGCTGGCTGAGGTGATGCACTCAGAGCCCTGCGTCGCCTGCTCACACTTCTCGAAGAGCAACGTCAGCAGCGGGAACAGCGGGTGCCTGCAGAGGACAAAGGAGACCCCCATAATGACCACTATTTTAGGCCACATGTCCATCTTTACCCCACATCATCCATCCATCCATCCATCCGTCCTTCCCCTCCCAGCTCGTAAGAACCTGGTGGTGCAAACCTCACTACCAAGCCATGCTGGAAGTGCTCCCTCCAGACCTTTTCCAACAACAAAGCTTAAAAATTGCAAAATTCACCATCTCCTCCATCAAGCAATGACTCCTCCCAATGCCTTGGTGTTTTCCATCTCTGCACCAAAGCTGGCATTTCCTACATATTTTACCACAGACAAAAAGGTGGATGTCTTGGAGCCATCTGCTGTCTCGGTGCCTTTGCATTTCAAGGACAGAAAGGCATCCTGCTCTTTGATGGTAACACTTTACTTCAAATCACCTCTGTTTGTTGGACATGATGGATGGGGACTCCCACATGCCTGCAGCATCCTATGGACCAACCCTGCTTTGGGTTGCCCCTCCACCAAGAGGTCTCTGCACCTCTGTCGAGTCCACACAGGTGGGTCCAATCCCACTTCTTTCTTACCAGGAGAGGACTCTTAAAAACAAAGATTTATAGTTCCTCTAGAAATCCACGATTCTCTCCAATAATGATGCTGAACTGATGCCATATAAAATGCAAATACACATACAGCACCAAAGCATGTGGAGAGTAGGGGGATGCAGACTAGGGGTTAACCCCAACTCCAGTGAGCCTCTCCAGCGGTGCAAATTAAAGTAAAAAAGTTTCACAGAGTCTTTCAGGGCAGAAATGCAAAACAGTGGTCTCCCACAGCACTCCAGTCATCCCAGCACAACGGGATGGGCTCCACCATTTTATCTCCAAAAGATGTCCCAAAAGATGATCACGACTCCCTTCCCGACAGCCTTTTTGAGCCGGAGTCAGGCGAAGGGGTTAAACCCCCCGGCTAAGTCTTCATTTGCAGCCGTTAATACCACAGCATATTATAGTTTAATCTGTCCTGATCCTGGTTTAATGCAAGATTCACTGAGGCTGGAGCGGAGGACGGCGAGGGGGGGAAATCATTTCATAATTTCAGCAGCCCCGCCGGGGCTTAGCCGGGGGATATGAAAGGCAAATTCCAGGCGGCGGCTTGAATTATTGGGACTTATGAACTGGTGGCACTGCAGCAGGTGCCTGCTCCCATTTCCAGGGCCACTCCATCAATTAGGAGCAAAGGCACGGAATTACCCCAGGCATGGGGGTTTGGGGAGGGGGGAAGGGGATTGCAGCCCCCGAGCAATTTGTAGCCCCTTTGCTTTGAGGGGTTGCATCGATCAAGGGGGGATTAAGGCCGGCGTCGCCCCGTGCTCTCCAGCATTAATAACAGGGGCAGGGCTGCTGTGGACCCCCAGGAATGTTCTGGAGCTGGAGAGGAGGAGGAGGGGGATGCACATGGCTGAGGGGAGAACGGTTTGCTTTTCAGTTGGAATTAAACTAAAATAAACTAAAAATTTAAGGCAAAATAAAGGGAAGCAAAGTAGAACCCGACCCGACCGAATCTATCGGTAAATAAAATTAAATGAAAGGAAATAATAAATGAAAACACTAAACAAAATAAACATTAAATAAAATAATAAAATGATAAAATAGCAAAATAATAAAATACAATAAGGGGGAAACCAGGGAGGCAAAATCCCCAGGGATGGGTTAAGGAAGAGCACTGAGGGCACTCTGAGCACAGAGGCAAGGACTGCTGGAATTTGGGGGTTTGCCATGAGCCATGTGCTGAATTGTTGTGTTTCTGTGAGGGCTTTTGCATTTTTGCATGGGGAAAACCCCAATCCCAACCACCATTTTCTCCATTTCCAGCCTTTCTGTGGCCACACCAGGCAGAGGAAAGGCCGGGCCCACCACGGGGGTTTGCAGGTGGAGGTTGTGGCGTAAAAATTGAGCTCTGGAGCCCCTCCTTGCTATGAAATTTGCAGTGGGGAGAACAGATGGATATCCAGGATGCACAGGGGAAACAGAAGGATTGTCCTCACTCCTGGCATTGCACAGGTGGAAAACCACCCCTATGGCACGAAGGAGAGTTTGGGGATGGAAAAATCTGCTTTTGCTGGATACGGTCTTGCAAAAAAAAAAACCACCTGTGTTGTGGTTTTTTTTTTTTCCAGGGAATCCTCCAAATGAAAGGGCTGAACCAGCCCTGACATTTTCCTGCAGGAGAGAGGTCGTTTGCAGCCACTAATAAAAAGGATTCGACACGGGCTAATAAAGAGGAATGAATTCCTCTAATGGCCTAATTTCCCATCTTCAGCCAGGCTCGAGCCAGTGGCACTGTGGGCACATCACAACAGGAATTTTTGGGGTTTTTTTCACCCCTTTCCCCCTCAAAAAAAGAGAAGAAAAAAAAAAAAAGGAAAAAGCAAAAAAAAAAAAAAAAGAAACTTAATGCAAAGAAACTCAGCCATTTCCCACTTGGAAAAATCCAATTTGCGGTGCTCGGGTGGTTTAAGCACCATTTCCCTTCAGAAGCATCATTTTTTTCAGGTCCAAAAATCCACTGGGAAGTCCCAGGCCCACTGTTGCATAAAGTCAAGAAAACATTTAAGCTGGAAAAAAACTGCAGAGAAGTGACACTGCTGGACCAGTCTTGGCCAAGCTGCTCCCACACCAAGCAGAGAGGGGGAAGATTCTTTTTTTTTCTCCCTTTTTTCTATTTTTTTAATGGGTGATAAACCTCCTGCTAGAGCATAAAACCCGGTGGGGTGACTTGTCCATGGTTTTTTATATTTCCCATCACATTTTGCCAGCAATTTCCCTCCAGGTTGATCAACAGACACTTACAGCTGATTCTTTCTGCCTTGGTGCAATTATTGAAAAGTGACAAAAATCCATTTTTTGGGGGGGGGAGGAGGGCTGAGAAAATCCTTGTGTGCATTTGACAGCTAATGACATACCCACCATCCATAATAACCGTTGGAGAGGGGAATATTCATCCAAAAAGGCTCATTTTAGGGATAAAAATTTATCTGGGGGGTCATTTGGCTGGAACCCAAAAATAAGCATCTCAATTTGGGCAATGAGTCCACACATGGGACTAGGCAACAAATTTTCCCCCACTTTTCTAGGTGGGAAATACATCCCACAAGGTTTTATTTGCACGTTTTTCATGTTCAAATTTAGGCTGTGAAAACTCCAAAGGTGGTTTGGGTTTTTTTTGTTTTCCTTATCCCATGAATGCTTCAACAAAACTCCTCCTGGAAGGGCAAAGGGAAGGTGGTTTTGCCCTCAAATGGCTTTTTTTGCATTGAGAAAATGATTTTCAACACTGGGAGAACTGTGTCGAATAATCTTTTGCATTTTCCTGGGAAAGAGTGAGTTTATTCCACACTTTCATCTGCCTTTTCAGACCTTTCAGCCTCGTAATATTTGAATATTTGGAGTACAAATATTTTAATTCCTTCAACTCCAAGCTGCTTTTTTTTTTTGTTCACAAGCCATCACAGCCCTGGCCATTGACAGGGGGTTAATCCTTAACCTTAAATCTTAATCCTAATTATATTAAAATATTGTTACATCATTACTGTTCTAATATTGTAAATAATCACATCTCCCTTGTATCATTATATATTACTTATATAATTATACTATTTACATAATTAGAATATTACTTACAGCAATTATACTATCACATTACTGCATATATTACAATATTATATATTATTATCCCCAAAGTGACACGAAAAGTGGACTGAAGGAGTCATCCATCCTGTATGGATCAACAAACTGCACATTTCAGGTTAATAAGTGACTTTATTAATTATTCAACCCCAAATCACACAGCTTTGCCCCCTAAAAAGATTAATCTGGGGTTTTTTTGAGGGTGAATATTTTGGAGAGGTTGGGGGGAGACGCTGCAAAACGAAGCACATGAAGGAGCTCCACCACCATGAGCTATGACCAATAGGTATTATTGAAAAAAAGGAGCTAATTGCTAATTCCCCCCTTCTAATGCTAATTAATGCATCGGAAGAACAGATTAATAAAGCATTATAACAACGGATGCATCCAAGGATCGAGGGGGGAACCTGGGCATTAATTAATGCCTCGCCGAATGGGCGCGCCAACCATGCATTACAACAGCGAGCCATTAATTAGACTGCATTAATTAATGCATTAATTAATGAATGCACGCTGCAATTAGCTTGCATCACCTGTAGACAGCCCTCTTGTCGGCCTCCAGCTGCGCCTGGGGGTCTCCGCCCGTGGCCGGCACCGGAGTGTTGGCGGCCGCCGCCGGCGTGGCGAGATGCACGGGCTGTGCCTTGGTGGGCTGCTGGGCTGTGGCTGTCATCTGGGAAGGGGAGAGGGGGGAAAAAAAAAAAAGGGAAGAAAATAAAATAAAACACTAATAGCGTTTGTTGTGCTTTTCGGCCGAGTTTTTTCGGGATTTTGGAGAATCGGGAGGCGGCGGCGCCGCGACGGGGCTCGGAGAGGGAGGTAAAATGAATATATCTGCGTTTCATCTCGGCCTGGAAAGGGCAGGTTTAGGGTTTTAGTGCCTTTTTTTTTCCCCCGCTTTCCACTTGGGGAAAATACAGGAGGAAAAAGCGCCGCCGTCCTTCCCTCCTGCGGTGATTTCGGGCGGGACGTTTCGCACGAGCCCCAGGTTAAACCGGCTGCGGCGCCGCAGCCTTGCCAGGAGCTTTCTTCAGAGCAGGTATTACTGTCTAGACACATTCATTTTCCACTTTATCCCAAAATTAGGCGAGCCTCTTCCAACTTGCCAAGCCCAGCAATGACTCATCTCGGCGCCGCGAGAAGACGGCCCAAAAAAAGAAAAAAATCAACCTTTTTTTTTGGTGCCCGCGTGCGAATCACCCGTTTTTAGCCCAGATGCTGCCCAGGATTGCTGACATCCCGGGGATCTGCTGTGTCATAAACGATCCTGACGACAAACTTGGTGCTTATTTTAAAATCTGGAGTTATTTTGGGTCTGTAGGATGTGAGATGTGCCCTCGCCAGAGCTCCTGCAAATCCCTGCACACCCCAAAACTGCCGCTCTCTGGTACAAGATAACACCTACTTAGGGGAAATTCTCCCTTAAAACTGACAATATCATTAAAAAAAACCCCTGAATGATCTGCTGCCAGGCTTCAGACGGGTCCAAGCTTTGTGTTATCCTCACGAGATTCCATTAAAAAAAAAAAAATCCAGTGGGAATGTGAAGCGAGAGGGGCTCAAATGCATCAGCAGTGCCCCAAATACGGTGGTTTTAACCAAAAATCTCAGCAGAGAATTAATGCAAAGTGGTTGTTTCACCTGCTTTGCTGTCAAAATTTGTAAAAAATAAGCATTTGCTTATTTTCACCAATAAATGTTCAATCCTCCCTCGAGGTAGGGAGCAAAAGGAAGCTCTGGCTCTTGCTAAATATTAGATTTATCATTTATTTATTGTCTACTAGACTTATATATACTTATTTCTGTGTGTATATGTAATTATGTATTATCTATATTTGTATAATGTTTCTTCATTTCTGTGTAGATCTCCATATAAATAATACATATTATTTGTCTGATACACTCCCATATTTATTTCTGTGTTTATTTATACAGAAATGTGCTTATAGGTATTATTTATTTATTTATTTGTCTGATATGCCTCTAGATTTCTTTGTGATCATTAATATATCAAAATGCTAATATGCATAAATTACTATGTAATTCATTATTATATATATTTATATATATATATAAAGCTTTATAAACCCAAGCTGGACCAAAACCACGACACCTTTTGCTTTTAAAATATTTGCCTTTAATATCTCCTGCCTGACCTTTTGCTGTCGCTTTTTTCCTCACTTTTTTTTTTTTTTCCCCCTCTCCAATCTCCTTTATTTTTCATAACTCCAAAGTTTGGCTCCAGCACCTGCAAATTCACCCAGCACTATTTAATTTCCAGCTCTCCCAACTGAGCAGCCACTTTGATTTCTGTCCTTCTTCCCTTCCCTGGTGCTAAAGAAACGAGGGGAATTTGGGCTCCCCTTCCCCTTCCAACCCCAGCATTTGGGATTTTCCTTTTTCCCCCCCTCATCTTCCACCTAAAACCAAAATGCCAGCAGCTTTGGGGATGCTCCAGCCGTGCCACTGAACATCTTCCCAACCTCCTCCTCTTTCTCCCCTTTTTTTCCCCTATTATCTCCCTTGAACATTACAGTTCTGTGGGAGAAAAAATGGCTTTTTCCCCCAATCTTTTCCCTTTTTTTTCCCCCCTCATCACACTCATTTACCAGGATTCCAAAGCCCTTTTTGCATCCGGCCCCGAAATCCTGCCAAGCGGATATTTCCAGCCAAGTCTGCAACTAATTGAGCTCTTACCCAAAAAAAAAAAAAAAAACAAGCCTCCTCTGGGGCTTTTACCTCGCAGCCATTACCTCACCTTGGACTAAAGAAAAGAATAAAAAATAAGCAAAAATAATTCCAAGTCCGTGGAAAAAGAGGTGAGATGATGCTGGGATGGAGGGATTTGCAGGTGGACAGGGAGGAAGGCAAAAATGGAGCCAAAAATGGCTTTAAGGGGAGCAGGTGGGGATGGGAAAGGAGGGAAAAGGCAGTGGGAAAATGGGGAAATAAGGGGAAGATATTTGGGCATGAAAGTTGTAGGCATTGAAAAAAAATGCAGGTTTTGAGGTTTTTTTTTTCCCCTGGAATATGTCCAAAAAGAGTTGCAGGGGAGGAAAAAAAGGAAAACAAAAAAAAAGAAAAAAAAAGTACAAAATACATGTTAAAAAATGTAGAGAAAAGAGTAAAAGAAAGGTAAAAAAGAATGTAGATAATAAAAATAATTATGTAAACTGTTAAAAATACATTAAAGCATGTTTAAATATGTTAAAAAAAGTTAAAATATACGTAAAAATATATAAAAATGTAAAAACATGTTCAAAGTATGTTTACAAATACGTCGGCAAAAGTAAAAGTTTTAAAATGTAAAAAATACCTTTAAAGACAGAAAAATGAAAATATGTTTAAAAATAATGTATTTAAAATGTGGGAAAATGTAATTGATACATTTACAAACATGTAAAAACCTCAAATGTTTTCAAATGTAGAAAGCACATTAAAAGATGTTAAAACACTACGACAGTTCTAAAATTATGTTAAAGATGTTCTTAAAATCATGTTTAAAACGTAGAGCACCTAAAAAGGTCAGAATTTTTTAAAGATTAAGAAGAAAATCAAAAAAAAAAAAAATTAAAAGGAGATTTAGAAAATAGGAAATAAATAGTAAATAGTAAAAAATCCCTGTGGTTTTGCCAGGCTCCTGGGTAAAGCTGATATTTTTAAGGTGCTGCTCCAGCTGGGCATGATATTTTTGGGTTTAGGTATTGCATTTCTGGGGTTTGGGTACAGTATTTCCAGGTGTTACATTTTTGGGGGTTGGGTATGATATTTCTGGGGTTGGGGGTTACATTTTTGGGGTTCAGATATGATATTTCTGGGTTTTTTTGCTTCTTTTGGAAGGAAATCCTCTGCCAGCATTAGCTCTGGGAGGGCTTCCTGCAGTTTTAAATGCCATAATCCCTCTTCTTTAGGCTTTTTTTTGTGAAGATACGTCCAAAGACATCAAGTTCAAGGAGTAAATCCCCTAAATCAGCAATATTTACCCTGTTTCTTAGCATTTCGCTGGGAAATCCTGTCACACGTGCTGAAAACAGCAGTTCTGAGCCCAAAAACCTGCTGAGGACACCAGGAATTGGAGGGGTTTTGTGGCTCCCACTGAAAAAATCTTGATGTCCATTCAGTTTTTACCCCGTGGCTTTTTCAAACATATTTATGATTAAAAAAATAGAAGGATGTTCATCATTTTTCCATTTTTGTCACTGTTATAACCACCTGAAAAGCACCTGGGGGGTGGAAGGCAAAGCTGCTTTTATCACTTCCTGGGCTGAAAATTATGAAAAATCAACTTCTCCATCCAATTTTTAATTATTTTTTAAAATATATTTATTTATTAAGTTATCTTTTTTGTCCCTATTGTAACCACCTTTGGGGAGGGGGGAGAAGATACTTTTTACCCCTTTCTGTGTTGGAATTTATGAAAAATTAACACCTCCACCTGATTTTTAACAACCTTTTCTCCTAAATAAATTTTTTCAATACATAAATAAAGAAATAATTTCCTCTCCCCTCCCCTTTTTTTGTCCCTGTTGTAACCACCCAAGAAGCACTTTTTTTGGTAGGGCAAATCTTCTTTCATTGCTGTCAGCACTGAAAATACCTATTTTTAAAACAACCTCTTTTTTTGCTAACTTTGCCAATGGCTGAAGACTCTTCTTTAGCTTTTTAGTTTTAATTTATTATGGAAAACACACGGATTTTTAGGCAGACTCCTTAATTTTCAACAGGTAGAATGCTTGAAGAGAGTGCCTGTGCTCAGTATAAAAGATGCTCCACGTTACACCCCTTTAACAGATTCAGGTGATTAATAAAGCATTTTTTTCCCCCAAAAAGGCAGCTTTCCCCCTAATTTCTGCTTCATTTCTGCACATCTCTGACAGTGAAGGTAACAGCTTCCAGCCTCTGCTGTAAAACACGAATGCAAAGCTCCCCAAATCCCATTTTTTTAGCACTCTTCTCCCCAGAATGGTTCCCTTGATGAGGAGCTCATCGTAGCTCTAACAACTGATCATCTTTTATTTTATTTTATTTATTTATCACCAAGTCCTCCCCGTCTCTGGGGAGAAGAAATTCGTGTGCAATTTGCTTTTCCAACCCCTTAGAAACCTCAAAGTTTTGCAGGTGAAAAGTTCACAGCACAGCCACAGATGAGTCAAGGAAATCAACTCTCGGCCGCAGCTTTTCCTCACCCAAAAAAAAAAAAAAAACCACTTGAAAAACCCCCTTGATAAGGGGGAAAAAAAGGAAGGATTTGGTCAACGATGCTCCTGAGGGTCCCCCAAAATTCAATGTATTAAAGCAGGGGGGCAGTTGAGGGGCAGGGAGGGAGATGGGTGGAGGGGATGTCACCGCAGGATGCTCCGGAAAATGTCGGCTATTTTAAAAATCCCTTTCAATTGCCCATTAGGGCTAAAACGGCGCCGCGGCTCCCGCTGTGTAAGCGAGAAAAGGGAGGGGGAAAAAAAAAAATCGGGAAAAAAAAAAAGCCCTACTTGGAGCGAAGCAGCCAAGCGAGTAAATGATGACACAGAAGTTGGAGGAGCCATAAAAACCCCACCGAGGTGTCGTTTGTGAGAAGTGACCTTTTCCCACCGAAGGAAACGAGCGGGAAGGAGACCCGGGGGGAGGGGGGGAGGCTTCAGGGGGGGTGTGAAAAAGTCAATTTATTTATTTTAGCTTGCAGAGAACAGGCTCGGGGTTTGGGTTTGGGGGTTTTTTTTGTTGTTGTTGGGTTTTGTTTTGTTTTGTTTTGTTTTTTCCTGGGAGATTTTTCTGCTTTTGCCACTGAAAGGAGCAGCAAACGGGGAGAAACTCAAAATCTGCCGTATGGACAACAACAAAAAAAAGCTGCTTTGGAAACAGAGCTGTCTCAGTGCTCAGTGGATCATCCCTAGCAGAAATGTGACATAAATTTGCCCCTAAAAACTCTTAGGGTGGGCTGCAGGGTGCAGGAACATCTCTGAAATCCATCCTCAACCTCCAAGTCCAGCCTATTGGGGTGCTCCAGTAGAGTTTCCCTTGGACAAGCTCCTCTTCTTACAATAACTCCATAATGATGCTTGGAAAAGTTATTTGACCCCTTAGAGCACCATTGGAGACGAAATCTTTTTTTCCCCCCCGCCACAGGTTATTAAAAAATGCCATTGAAACAAATTTCCATGGCTAAACCCATCCTGGTTTAGTCAAACACTTTGTCTTTCCAGGTAATTAAACTGCTGGTTGCAAACATGCCACTAAGAAGACTCAATGACCCCAAAATAAGACTGAAAGGGGGAAAAAACACAGTTTGACCCCAAACCTTTCAATCTTGCAGACTGTGCCAAGAAGGGGTTTCATTTGGCCAGTCTCCGACGTGAACGTTCCGGGGTGAGGTACTTTGCAATGGCCATTATTTAGGAAGGCAGGGTAATTAATGCAGGAGCTGGGGGTCCCCAGGGGTCTGGAGGGGCCCGTGGGTGCTGCAGGACACTCACCTGTGGGGTGTCCTGGTAGGGAGGAGGAGGCACTGTCTGGGTGGCCATCATCGTCAGAGCCGGTGCTGGGGAGACATGGTGCATCCTGGGTGGGACTCACATCGAGAACCTGTGGGCAGGAGAGGAGCTGCTGCATTAAGAGGGATCTCTTCCCCCCCCCCTCCAAAAAAAAAAATCACATAAAGGGAGAGAAAAAAAAAGACAGCAAGGAGAGGTGACGTTCCTCACCCCGGCACAGCCCTGCACCACGCGGCCCCTGGGAGGAACCCCAGGTGACTTGCTGACCCTCATCATGCTTTGGTGATAGATTTGGGATTTTGGATAAGGAATGCATCAGGGCCAAAGCACAGCAGGGAGATCTCCCCTGGATAGCAGCCAGGCAAAGGAGGAGATGATGACTGCCATTGGTGAACCTCATTACATTTTCCCCCGGTGAGCTCTGGTGCACCCGGGGCGTCTTCTTCCCACCCTTCATGCCTGACCACAGTGCCTAAATAGGGATTTCCATCCCCTTTCCAGTTATTCTCCCTTTTTGGAAGTTGGAAGACAAATCATATATGCAAGACTTGCCCATTTTCTGAAATCAGACACTAAATCCCCCCAAAATTATGTCTCTTTGCCTTTGGCAACCATGGAATCACATCCTCAAGCACTGCCTGCTCACTCCAGAAGGGACATTTTGTGTCTGATGTGGAGTTGATTCCCATGTTGTGCTGTCCAGCCCAGCTGACTCCTCTGCTGAGGTGACTAAATGCACAGAAATGTGGAAACTCTTGCCTGCTTTGAACCAGGAAGCAAACCTGGATTTTGATCCCATAAACTGAGGAGGCAATCCTCATGTCACCCTAAACCTCTCTTTTTTTTTGCATCTTCATGTCCAAAGGAGATGGGGAAAAAAAGAAGGGCACCAGGAAGAGACAAATTTGTAGAGGAGCATTTGGCTGGGAGAAGTCCTCAAGGATAAACCTGGTGGCAGATATGACCCAAAAGCAACTCTTGGCCCCAAAAAACCTCCTCTGCCATTATTGCATTGCAACTGTGTGGCTGTTTTAGAAGAAAAGCCAATAATCTAGCTTAAATTCTTAAAAAAAAAGGGACATTTGGAAAAGTCAAAGGGGACTGTCACAGGGATAGTGATGAGCTCAGTCAAAACTGATGCACATTCAGTAATCTTTGTGAAAGAGTCACAATATTCTGGTCTTCTCCATGAGGTCCACATTTTTGGGGGGGAAGAGCCACAATATTCTGGTCTTCTCCTTGAGGCTTCAAGCTTTACAGGAACCACCAGGCCCCAAGTTCACAAATGCACCATATCCACACAGAAAGCCAAGTGCTGTGTGCATGGGATGGGCATCAACCACTCCTATTTATTTTGCATGAATAAATGAGGTTATTCTTTTTTTTTAACTTTGCACTAATATGGATAACCCACAAATTGAGAGATCACACCCAAAATCCTGTGCATGCAGGGTTCTTGCATGGCACAGACCTCTTGCAGGGAGGAAACTGCATTTATGGGATTAAAATGATGCTTTTCTTCTTTTTTTTCCCGAACAGCAGAATAGCAGGAGGCAAAATTATCTGCTCCTGAGTGAAGTCGCTGCTTAAAATCTTTGGTGTCCAATGTCAAAATTCACTTGCAGCTGCAGGCACGTGAATATCTGAGTCCTCGGGGGGTAACACCGAGGGGAAAACCTCCCCACCAGAAATAGCTGCAGCTGGGGAAGAGCAGAATTTAGCATTGTGATGGTCTGGCCATCTGGGTGGGAAGCTAGGGAAAAAAAAAAAAAAAAAAGACACTGCTATTTTGGGAAAAATACCCTGCTTGGCATCTATTGCTCCTGCCAGGAGCGAGCCCACAGCCAGCACGTGGGGATTCACTGTGGGGTGTGAGGTTTTGGGTGAGCACATTCCCAGAAGGTGGCAGCCCAGAGCCCGATTTAATTGCTGAAAAACATCTGAGCTGCTCAAATCGGGCCGTTCATCGAGGTTTGTGGGTGTTGGTTTGGAGGGAGAGCAGGACTCACAGCCAAACGTGAAAAATAAAAAAAAGGGTGGAAGCGAGAAGCTGCTGCAAATAGCACTGTATATTTATCCTGGGGAGGGAAAAAATGCACTTGGGCACTGTAAATATCCAGGGAAGCAACTGATGCCTGAGGGAAAAGCTGGACAGGTGTTTCACCTGGGAGCCCCTGGCCAGGAATGTCAGGATAACAGGGCAAAGCTGTCAGCCCAATGGATTTATCGGCAGCCAACACAAGGGAGGCTCAAAAGCTGCTATTTTATGCATTAATCCTTTCTTATTTTTTATATTTTATGCACTAATCCCCTCTTTTTTTTTCTTTTTTTTCCCCCACTTCCACCACTTAAATCAATTTAGCTGGTGAACTCCTGCCCACAGGCACCCAGATGCCAAAAGGAGCAGAGCATCACCAAACCCCTGCCAAATCCTTCCAGCTCAGCTCAAGGCAATCCTCAAACCTTGGGTGAAGAGGGAATTCTGGGGGGCTGGGGATCGAGGAGGGCAGGAATTGCAGCCAGCTCTTGGGGCATTTGCACAGAGGAAGGGAAAGGTGAGCAATAAAACCCATAAAGGCTCTTTCATTTCCGGACCCGGCTGTACTTTACGTTTTGGCAACGACTTGAGATCAAAGTATCCTAAATTTCCTCATGAAATAAAATTATTTCAGCTATCACTGAAATGTTGCCATTACGTTGGAAATGTACTTCCCGAAGAGCTTGTGCCTGCCTAAAAGAGTCTCAGATTTATAGGCTGCTTTTTTTTTTTTTTTTGCCAATAATATATCACATCCTTTTCCCAGTAAAAATAATTAAAGACTTAAGTTGAAAAGTCGGGGTTTTTTTCCACGTGGTCACTGATGCCTTAAAACATTTTAAAAATCAAAGTATTGTCAGTCACCCACCACCCCTCAGGTGAATATGACCTCCTTGATTAATAAAACACCCATAAAACCGTATTAGAAGTAGGCCTGAATGCAAAAAAAAAAAAAAAATGTTAAAACCTCATTTATGGACTCCTCGTCACCGTTTTCAAAGAAAAATGTTAACATTCGATGTGGAAAGCACAACTTTTGTTTCCAAACCAGTTGGAAAAGGGGGATAATTTTTTCTAGCTCATTCAGCAGTTTCTGCCCCGCAGCAACACGTGCGACTGATAGCGGAGGGTTCAGTGTGAGAAATCAGAAAAACAACTTCTCAGGCTTTTTTTTTTCTTCTCCACCTGAAGCTTCAACATTATTAGAGATACTTGAGGATGGGGTTTTTTTCTCCAGCCATGGAAGGAGTTTTTCTGTATTAAGGGAAGATTGCCTTTTTCCAAAGGGGATTTTCGCTGTGGGATTTGCAACGATGCCGAGTCAGTCACGGCTCCCTCCACGGTTTTTTATGTCACCGTCTTCAGAGAGGGCCTGAGCAGGCTGAAGTTTATGATATATGCATTCAGCTAAGTTAAAATGAAGAAATATGGCAGAGCAGGGAGGCAGAAGGTTCTCCAGAGGACCATACATCTTGCTCGGAGCAGCCAGGACAGGTTCACCCTCGGTGGGTGATGCCAACTCTTGATTGGCCATAAAGTGAATTAAGAGCTACCCTCTTGCTCTTGAACATTTCATTTCTATCCACCAATCTTCGCCCTTTTTGCTTGTTTTTACCAACATTCACACATTACCCTGAAAGATGAACACCAGTTTTCACAAGCTGTTAAAGGAAGTCCCTTATGCCACCCTGAGCTCACTAAAAACAAACCACTATTAACTAGCGGTTAAGATAAAAATAAACCACTATTAAATGGTGAAAACTGGGGGGAAAATCTAATTTTTCAAGACATAAACCATTTCTTGACCATTCCTCGTGTTCCAGGTTGCTTCCAAGCAGGCTCATGCAATGCCTCCTCTGGGGAGATCAGGAGCATTTGTGCAAGACACACCACTGGGCCACCAAACAGCTTTAATTTTTTTCAGGAATATTTGGCTGCCAAACTTCCTCTATCCAAACCCAGGGGAGCATCCTTGCTCTCGACCAAGATGATGCATTTTCTAGATGCTGACCTTTGCACCCTTCCCAGCACCCAGTTATCGAGTTATTGCCCCGTAAAAAAAGACAAATTGGGGGTGTGATTCTGCTACAACCACGGGCTAAAGCAGATGGGGATTTGATACTTCTGCAGAATAAACTCTGCATCCCTTTTCTATTTTCCTCCTAAAAGAACAGTTGGTCAGTGCATAAGCAATTGGGATAAAAGGGAGAAGGAAACACTGTGTCAGACAATGTCAAAAAACTCTTGCCAAGCACCAGTTTGGAATGTCCCTGGATGGGCTCCTGGGCACAGGGAAAAGGAGCATTTATTTACTTAATACTTTCACCCAGGTATTTAATATTTATTTATTTATTTACTTATTTCCTATTTGCAGGTATTTCTTTGCTCTTTGCATTTATATATTTAATGTTTCCCAATCCTCCTCCCAGCTCCAGCTCCACAGAAAGGAGGGAGCTGCTACAGTGAATTTCCGATGAGAACAACAATTACTGCTAAATATTTCTCTCCTCTCCAAAGATACCCATCCCTAAAAGGCTCCAGGGATATCTCTGCAACATAAACATGAGAATAAAACCTGCAAGAGCCAGTCAGAGCTTTAGTAGACAAGGTTAATGTACCTTGAACAGCAGCATTAAACAACTTCCCTCTTTTTTTAAGTGGAGAGCTGAGATACCTACATACATTTTAAAGTGTTATTTTTATAGGGGAAGACCATTAAAGCACCTTCCAAAACAAACTGGCACAGGGAAACATCAAAGAAGCTTCTTCAAAGTAACCTGAAAATACTTGCATTTTGTGCAACCCAGCCCTTGGCCCAAGAAAACTTCCCAAAAGAGCAAATTGTGAATTTTTTCACAGGGCAAATCAAAAAGCTTTGAAGTGAAGCGTAGCTGAGGAACCCCAAACATGCAGAAACTTCCTCTTGCTGGACACAAATTATCCAAAAAAAATTCTCTGTTTGCCTTGAAAGTGCTTGTAAAAAACAGGGAGCGGGTGAATTTTCCTCTTCTCCGTGAGCTGCGAATAATTTACGTCCAAAATCTTGCCCTGTGCTTTCAACCTTGGTTTGTGCTCTTTGTTTTTCACCACAGTCTGCTAATTCCATGAGTAAGGAAAACCTGAGCACCCACATTTCCATCGGGCAAGCACCAAATCTAAATGGGAAGGAGGAGGGAGGATGGTCCTGACCGGAGGGAGCCGTGTGGGTGGTGTGGCCACAGTCCAGTCGAGCTCCACATCCTCTGTTTTGTACACTTCTGTTACTAATATTGTTGCTGCTACTGTTCATTTTCTCATCTCATCGCTGTTTCCAGCAAATTGTTCTTATCTCAACCTGTGATCTTTGCCTTTAGTGCCCCCAGTCATCCCCTCCAGATGCCCAGGGGTGGAACGGGAGGGAGGGGAAGCAAGCGAGCAGTGTGTGGTTTTGGAGATGTGGTGTGGGGAGGGGAAGCACTAAATTGGGGAACACCACTCCTAAACCACAACAACCAATTTCTCCACCAGCACAAGTGCCAATCAGACCAACAGCAGTGCAAGACCCACCCACAACCTCCACGCAGACGTGCACCACCAATCCTAGCAAAGGTGCCACCACAAACCACGCGAGGACCTTTTGCAGCTGTTTCTGCAGCCCACGAACACCCCGTGACCCACACTGCCATTTTTCATGGTTTTAAATGCAGCTTTAATTTTGATGCCCTTTTGGGGTGTTCACTTTGCAAATCAAAGCTCACAGGCTTCGTGCAAATCTCCCAACGCTGGCGTGAGTAGCAGCAGGTGAACACAGACAGGAACCTGCTTTTTGGTGGACTTGTAGGACTTGGGGTAAAAGTAGCAGAGCCAACCCAACTGCAGAAACACAGGTGGGAGTGTGCAAAGATTTCCCCATGGGAAACCCCCCCAAAACAGCAATGCCACAGCACACCTAATAAAACCCTCTCCTCCCTTAAATCTGCCTCATTTCTCTCTATATCCTGCTATCACGCTTGGAAATTTTCACTTTGGGAGAGGGAAAGAAATCCCTCTGGAGCTGGCTGTTTTCCTCTTTCCCATATGGCAGATAAATCAGAACTCCTGACTCGCTGAGTTTCCGCCTCACATCCCTCTCTCACAGTTCTCTGTCTCCTCCCGGTCTTCCTCCTCCATGAATTTCCTTTTTAAAAATGTAAAATTCCCTAAGAGAAGCGACTGTACCAACCAGAAGACAAAAAAATATGGGTTTTATTGAGGCATTCCAGGCTTTCTGATATCTGCAGAGAGTCGTCCCTATCCAAACCCCGAGCCAAGACACTAAGGATTGCTATGGGAGCCCCTGGATTAATCACCTCAATTGAAATATGTTTCATTTGCCCATTTAAACTCAATTTTTTTGCCATATTTCCAGCCTTGATGACAAAAGAGAAGTTTGAGATGTGACGTGGTGATTTATACAAGCTCCAGCCAGCTAGGGAGTTACAAGGGGTTTCAAACTCCTTTAATGATGCTCAATAGCAGTTAATAACTTCTCCATTTATTCCAAATGGGAATAAACCTCAGACTGGTCTGACCTCAACACAATGAGGAAATTGGGGTCAAAAAAGGACTGGAAAGTGTTCGTGGTGTGAGACAGATGTGCCAAATTTTTTCACAACACGGTGACAAAAGAGATGGCCTGGCCTCTGAGGTGCATCTCCCTGGTCATGTGGGCTTCAGGAGGAGGAAAGCTGAGACAGTTTTGTGCCTGGAAACTGGGGGGAACAACACACAAGGTGGAGAAATCCAAGTGGAACCAAGCTGTTCTCAGAAGAAGTCATCAGGACAGGTAATTTCTATCATTAACCACTTAGAGCAATGCCAGCCTTGTGTTCCAGAAGGTAATTAGGTGGACAGCCATCATCACATCTTTCTGTGCCTTTAGTGGGAGGTGCCTAGACCTTGTTGGCACAATTTGTCGAGCTGTTTTCAGTTTGGTCTTCTTGCTGGAGACAATTCCAGGCCAGGTGTCCTCAGCAATCACATGCTCGTGTTCTCCACAGGCTCAGTTTCCACCAAAGAGAACAACACAACATGCCCAAAAGAAAGGGCAGGGTACAAAGCCCTTCCATATAATCTTTGCTTGAGTGTAAATGTGCTTTTATACTTGGGCTCAGACAGAGTGAACTGGGGAAGGACACTAACTTAAAAATGGGGGAGCTCCCAGCCACTGTTCAATAAGGCAAAGTCCTCACACATGTTAGAGATGATGTTGCAACTACCAAAAATCTGGCCTTTATAAGGTGGGGATTTCTAGATTTCAGCACTTTCAGTGGAATAATAAAGATGGACTGAGCAAGGATCAGCACAAGCACCAGGCAGCTCTCATCAAAATACAGATTGGAAAGAAGGGATCAAGGCAGGCAGGATCCCCCCAAAAAGTGGAGGTGACCCCAAACCCCCACAAACTCAGCAGAAAAGTCATTTCAAAGTGAACCCAACCTCAGAATCAGAACATGGGCGAAATCAGACTAAGGAGGAATCCACCACTTCCTTCATCATGTGGGGTTTTTTGGCCAGGGGAAAGGTCACGGGCAAGAATCAGGGCTGAAAGGGCAGCCTGGGGGAAACGATCCTGCCCTTATTGGCTGCTCTTTTTATTACAAGGGACTTTCAAAGGAGACAAGACTCGAAAGAAAACACTCAAAGAAAAGATGCTCTGCTGCGCCGTGGACTGGACGAAGGTTTGGGGCTTTCCCCCGAGAAACCCCCGCCCTCAATATCACCATTTTAAGCAGAAACCAGGCACTTTTGCAGGGCATTTGCAGGGATTGAAGGTGGCACCTCTGTTTTCAGTGACCAAAGATTTCCCTTTGCTCCTACAGGAGGAAATTTGCAGCCAAGGGGGTTTTATTTTCTTTGTCACCCGCCGGGTGCCTCCGGTTTTGGCACAGTGACATTTGTCACCCTGTCAAGCCCTAATTTTAGTGAGCGGGGTTGACCAAAGGACTGTGAGACCCTTGGTTTCATGTATATCTTATTTTAAGCTCTGCATTTCAGTTATTTTTAGCTGGTGACCATTCCTCTGCATTCTACTGCTGGCTGTGCCAAAATTTTGCAGTAATAACAGCCCATATTTCAGAGTATTTTCACAGAAATATATCTGTGTTTTCCTCCAGGCTGGCTATGGCTCGTAGGGCTCTTAACAACATGTTATTGACACTTGAGCTTCAAATCAAGACTCCCTGCACAGACTGATCTCTTAAAAAAATAGTATAAAAGTGTAATTCTCCCCTCACTGCATTTAGGGAAGGGTTGATACAATTTAAGTGTACCAGAAAACAACAGAAATTCCCCCAAATACAGCCATACTGAGGTCATGACTCAACACATCCCACTCAATTAGTATATATAATTGCACAATTAACATGTATAATTGCTTAATTAATATAAAGAGAAGAAGCCTTACTGTTTGTGGGGTGCTCAGGGAGCCACTGCCCTGGAAGTGTCCTCCCACCTTCCCAAAAACTAGATTTTCTGGATAGGAATCACAACCTGGGAAAGCAAAGGATGAAATGTTTGAATATTGAGAAAAAATGATGAAGCAAGAAGGCAAAATATTAAGCAGAGGATGAAGGTCTGTACTAGGAGAGGGCTTTTAGCAGGGGCAGCAAAGCTGTGGTGGGCAAGTCCACTCTTAAACCATTTTTTTTGAAGGATGATGGGGAAGATAAGAGGAATCAAGGAAAACTTAGGTGGGAATATCCCTGGGAGGTGAAGGCAGGACTGATGTCTAATCTAGAGCAGGGTTTTGCCCCAGTGTGTTTGAACATCTCCCAGAAAGGACAAACACTAAATCAGAATTTCAGAGGTCGAACCGGGCCGTGTCCAGCGAACGAAGGTGTGCCCGTTGACGGTCTATCCACAGAGGATGGAGGTTGGCACAGTCCTGTCCCGTCCTTTTCAGCTCCTGGGGGATGGTGAGTCCTCGGTGCAAGATCTCACTGAGGGTTACTGCTACAACCCGGGTCTGAAAAGCAGAAAAAAGGGAAAAAGCAATGAAATAGCATAACTATTGGCCTTGTCCCCATTTCACACTGGCTGTTGCCATTTCCCTGTTAATTATAATCTTTCCTTGAGTGCAAATGTGCTTTTATACTTGGGCTCAGACAGAGTGAACTGGGGAAGAGCCACTAACTTAAAAATGGGGGAGCTCCCAGCCACAATTCAATAAGGCAAAGTCCTCACACATGTTAGAGATGATGTTGCAACTACCAAAAATCTGGCCTTTATAAGGTGGGGATCTCTAGATTTCAGCACTTTCAGTGGAAGAACAAAGATGGACTGAGCAAGGATCAGCACAGCCACCGACACGGGGGTGGTTTGTGTCTGGCTGCAAAAAAAAGGAATAAGAGATAAAATTCACCAGACCTCGCAATATCCATCACCTCTAGCAAGACCCTCAGATCTCCAATACCCATCTAATAAATGCCCCTCAGCATACATCACCTCCAGATATTACCTCTCTGTCAGGTGATAAACATCACCTGAGATCTCCGGTATGTGTCTGATATATTTACCCTGACATACATCACCTGGTAGAGAGCTCCTCAGACCTCCAGCACAGGCCTGATATATGTCCCTTGATACACATAATCTCTGCCAAGCTCCTCTGATCTTCAGTCTACAGCTGATATATCTACCCTGATCCAAACCAGCTCGAGACAGCTCCTCACCAGCACAGCTCCTCACAACTCTGATATATGTCACCTGGCTGGAGCTCCTCGAGTCTCCATTATGCATCTGATACATCTGGCCTGGCACACACCACCTCCAGAGAGCTCCTCAGAGCTCTGACAGATGTCTGATATATGTCTCTTGGTACACATCACCCCCAGAGAGCTCCTCAGATCTTCAATATGCATCTGATATACCTACCCTGAAATATATGACCTGTTACAGAGCTCCTCAGACTGTTGATATATGTCTAATATATATAGGTATGTACCCCTCGATGTGCTGAACTGCTGATTTGAATGTATATCTGATATATGCACCTCTAGTTACACACCACCTCTCCAGAGCTCCTCAGATGCTCCTTCAACTCACTACCAACATGTAGAGCACCTCCAGAGATCCTTGGATCCCCAGGATACACCTCAGGGATGCACCTCTGCCACACATTACTGGCAGAGAGCTACATCTTGTGTGGTGAGGCCAGCTGGGAGATCCATGAGAACTGTTTCCCCCGGCTTTAATTCCATCCCAAACCCCTTGAACAACACCACAGGCATTTCTGTGCCCTCACAGCCCGTGTCCACCATCTAAGCCGGGAACACGGGTCCGAGAGACGAAGTTGCATGGGAAGTGCTGTTCCTGGAAACCTGGACATCACCAAGGTGGTTGACCAAGGAGAGATATGGAAACAACTGGGTGATTTCAGGGCAAAACAGGGCAGAAACCCCCAAACCTGGAAAACTCGGTGAAAGGGATAAAAGGTCAAGGTGCCTCTTGATTTCTCAGGCCACTGAGATTCAGTGACCTCATCTGGGTTACACTCACTGCTCAGAAGGGCCTGAGTCCAAAACTCTTCCACCACAACAGCAGGTGAAACATGAGGGTTATTTGTGATAAAGAATTAAGGCTCATCTTGGAGGAGTATGAATGGGCTGACACCAAATACATATTGAGAACCCAGTTGATTTTCACTGGATTTGTCCTGACATCGTGATTAAAAAGCTCATGTTTTGCAGCAATCCTTCATCCCTGTAAAGGCTTTTTTCCATCCCACAGGCAAGACTTTTGTCATCTGGGCTTGCTGCGTGAATGAAACGTGAGGACTGGAGGAAAAAGAGCAGACAAATAAAGCTCTGTCAGTGTTAAAAGAGCTCTAGTAGACTGATTTTCATCCTTAGAGGTGATCAGCGCTGAGGTCTTCAATGTTGCATGCATGTAGAGCAAAAATATTGTGCAACTTCTGCACAAATGATGCCATTTTTGTCCCCGTCACCAAGAGCACCAAGAGCCAACCCCACCAGGGACACCTCCCCGAACATCCTTGCAGAGGGAGAGAAGTCTTTTTGAGCCGGCGCTCACTTTTAGCAACTTCAAAAGGCAGCCTTTGAAGTTCAGCAGAGGCCTTTGAAGTCCTCCTGATGCAAAAGGGAACGGAGGAGATGCCTCCTCCAAGATGCTCCACCGCGGGCGACGCGGGCCAGCGAGACACGCGGTGTCCCGGGCGCTCGTGGTGTCACTCAGCACCTGCCCCAGGATCACAAACCAGACACCATTTCTGGCAAGTCATCAGCCCCCCCCAAACGCCCTAAATCCTCATCCAGCTGACCTGAATAGCCTCCAACAGAACAGCAGGGATGGGAGCCCAGTATCCTGGGACCTCAGCCTGTTCCCCTGCTGCAAAAAAGCCAAGGGCAGCCCTGTTAATAAAGATTTAATGAAGTGTAAGGGAATGATGGTAAAGCTGACATTTAGCAAATCAAAACCCGGGATTTTTGCAAAAAGTCCAGGATTTTGAAGCAAGGCAGATTTTCCCAGCATGTCACTTTGCTTCTTCCAGTGTGAGCACACCGTGATGCTTCCAAACCCCACCATGTCAGTGCCGTTTAATTGTGACCATCATTTTTTAATAAATTTAATGCCAGCTCCTCTGACTTAAGTGGAAACCACAAATGGTGAAAATCCCAATAACACTGAGTTTTGCTGGATTATTTTTATACCCCACACAAGCCGTACAGGCCCCAAACTCCACACCCACGGGGCCAACTGAAGAAACCCTGTATGTGAGGAAAACACTATAGATGCAAAAATCAAAGCTCAAACTTCCATTGACCCTTCAAGGAGCTCCGAGAGACGATCACAACCCTCCAAATACTTTGGCAACACCTGCTGCCATCTATGATGAGGACTATGATGATAAAAACCTTTGGTGTATTGAGTTTTCCCCCCCCCCCCAGTGCAATTTCTGTAGCACCTCCAACTTCTGGGGAAGGGCTGGGGCCGGGTGTTGGGGATGCTCCAGGAGGAATACGGTGTTTTCATCCTCCCCGCTCCCACAAGTTAAAATTGGTGATGCACAAACCCCACTGTTCTTCAGAGAGAGTGAAAGATTGGAGACATGCCCAGACATGTGCAGTATTCCTGCATTTCTGCAAAGCTGCTCTGAGGCAAAACACGGCCGGGAGAGACAAGTCCATCGGTGGATCCCCGCCCCAGGCAACTCCCATTATCCAAAGGGATATGTGGGGAAATATTGGACACCCTCAGCCAGGATGTGCACACGTGAACACATCTGGATCCAGGGAACAAAAGCTATGCCGTGCTGATAAATAATGGAAAGGCAAAGTGCCCCACAGAAGCAGCACCACACCGTTCGGCCCCGGGCGAGACGGAGGAAAATTCAGTACCCACGAGGTCTGGAACAGTGGGATTAACAACACATCAATTTTAATGCAGGGTGGCTTGTGCAGGGTTTTTTTTTTTTTTTTTTTTCTTCTTTTTTTTTTTTTTTTCTGCTTCACAAACAGCAAAGTGAATGTTTGAGCATCTCGGCGGGGGGTTAATGAGGACTCTGATTAGTTATTCAGATTTGCCGGTGCTGCCTACATCCATCCTCGGATGGGGGAATAACAGGAAAGGCTTTGCAGAAAAAGCTCTTAAAGACGACCTGCTTGGCTTTCACAGCTCAGGCAGACACAGGTTTTGAGGGGCTTATGCTACAGGGGTCCCCAAACCCGAAACCCTAGTGCCAACTTTGGGGTGGAAAAGCACATTTTCCCATCATTTGTAGAGGATGCAAAAAGCTGCTGCGTGTTGAGCCATGCCAATTCCTGTAAAGATTCACATTTGGATTTGTGGAGGTTCTTTGCCACGTTTAAAACAAATTCTTGGGTGCTATTTATAAAATTTGTGTACAATTATGATCAGAGGTACGGGACCAAAAATGATGGACGGGCAGATGCAAGGATGCACAGATGTGAGCATGCACAGATGTGAGCATGCACAGATGCAAGCATGCATATATTTAGAGATGCCTGCATGCAGAGAAGTATGGATAAACAGGCTCATCCTGTGCATCTGATCATATGGATGCAAGGATGCAGGGATGAACAGGTACATCCATGGGTGAAAGGATACATGGATGCATGCAGGCAAGGGTGGAAATAAGGATGGACCATCCCATAAGCCACCACTGGGCTGCAAAAATGCAACAACTGCATTTTTGCACAGCATCCCACAGAAGTCTAACAGTGCTTTATGTCCCCCTTGCTCCTTGGCCCAGGGATATTTTAAGCAGGTTGATCTCACCTCAGTATCTTAAGCAGATTGAACTGCTGTGTTTTGGGGTTTATTCCCGGATTTAGGCTTTTGTTCTTCACCTGCATCAAAACTCAGAAGGGAACCTGAGAAAATAGATGGCAGGTGTCCAAAATGATGCTGCAAAAAGCCTTAAAGGATGCAGCCAGGGAGGTGTTTCATGGCATTGCAAAGGGGCTCCTCAAAAAATCTAGGCATTATTTTAGGATTCACTCTAGGATTCAATATTTCTTCATCAAAGAGAAGTATCTGAAGGATGGGCAGGGTGGTGACAGCACTCTCTCAGTTCATCCCAACATCAAACATCAGCACTTTATTTCTACTTGGATCCAGAGCCCCAGCTGGCTCTTGCTTTGAGAATCACACAGCATTCAACAGGAGTTCTGGGGGCTAAACTCCCCGGTGTCCATGTCATTCCCCACAAGACCTGCCAGGATCTCAAAGGAAAGACAAACTGGAGTTATTCATCCAATTTTGCCAGCTCTGAGGCGCTCCATCCCAAACAAGCTCTTTTCCCCAGGACTGCCTCAACACGTGTTGTCTGGGTTTTAAAGGGTGCCTTAATTGTTCTGAATTAACAGCTCCAGCTGGAGGAGCAAACAAGCAATTTGCAGCCTTAAGATAACACCCAAGTGATTTAAGTTGGGGCTTTTAAATTTTTGGTTTTAATGGGAAATCACACTTTTCTGGTCGGGAATG